CGTTCAGCGATAGAAAAATAATCGCCTGTCCTCTATGATTCACTGTCCGTTCCATTTCTTTTATTTAGTATCTCTTTCTGTTCTATGCAAAAAGGTAATTATCTTTTCTCTCACAAGCTGTCATCTCTGTTCTGTACTTTTCCCGTGGCAGCGTTGTTGTGATTTTTGTCTGGCGGGTTGCTCTGCTGTGGCTGTTCCTATCTCATGTTTAAAAAAAACAAAGAAAGAAGCAAAACGAAACATTTTTGTCTCCTCCACCTACACCTACTTGCCTACCATTTTCATTCCTCTCTGTCTGCTTCACATCCTTTTCTTTTCCTCTGCCTGTCTTAGAATTTCCTCTGACTTCCACTGTCACTCCTCTAATCTAACCTGCCCTTTTTCTCCCCTGTAATGTGGGCTTTTTGGCCCCGTCCGTCACTCTGCTCATCTGGCATCCTCGTCCTTTTCCATACCTCTCTGTGCATCCCTGTGGCTCATCTGTCCTCCTCCCCCGGCTGTCCCTCCTCTCTCTGTTTTGTCTTCACAGTCACTGTATCCATCAGATTCTAGAAAGTGTCCATCACATTCACCAACATGACATAGTGCACAGGGACCTGAAGGTTAGTATGTGTAGAGGAGCATCTGCATCCCACCCTTCAACCCTCTCCCTCCCCAAACTTTGCTTGCTTCCTTTCTCCCTCTCCCCTCTTTTCCTCCTTCCTCCTCTTCGCCTGTTTGTCTGTCCTCTCCGTCTCTTGTCTGACGTCCGCCTGTCCGGCTCGTGTCTTGTTGTGATTGGATGTTTTCTTTTTGCTTAATGTTAATGAATTTTATTCATACATTTGTTTTATTTTTCTAATTGGAAGAATCTGGCCCACCTCACCCACTTTTTCCAGTTTCATCTGCCCTCCCAGTTGCTCTCCTCACAACCATCCCACATTGCATCTTGGGATGCACCCATCTACTTCCCACACCAATACAGACATCTCGGGTTTAGTTTCAGTTGATACCAATCTGATACGGAGAAATAGAGCTGAATTGACTTTTTTTTTTTTTTAGACACAAACATAAATGTACTAAATTTCAAAATTTATTTGGTAACTCTGTACCAGTACAGCACATTTAAATACACCAGTAGGTTCACAAGCTTGGTGAAGCTGTATATCAGGCGCGCTGATATACAAAGCTTAATTTGTATATCAGTCAATGTAAAATAAATAATAAGAAACTTAAACTTAACACTTTGACTGCCTTGGCCAAACAGTAAAAAAAACTGCAGCAAATTTTCTTTGAAATGGCTCAGAAATGCAATTAGAAATTCTTAATACGTATAATGTAAATTAAATAACAAATCAGAGTTAAACTAAATAAATCTTTGCTTATACTCGATGTGTAACTTTTTTTTATTTTTAATATAAGGACCGATATACATATTAATATCAAATTATATCTTGGGCTGGACGATATTGCTGAAAAACGTATCAGGATAAAAATAATTTTATGTTGGTCGATATCGATAACTTTTGATTCGTTTATATATCTGAAATATTATCAAACTTGTGACTTGCATGTTTTAGCCACAATTTTCACTCCATGTTATTGTTTATTTTTAAGGATTATGAGGCGAAACCGGTTCTGGATGAGAATTCAGTGAAATTATTTGTCTCATTATGCATATTGCAAAGAAGTGTCTAGATAGCAGTAAATGTTAATGTATTTACGTGCTATACTTAAATGAAGTATAGGTGCTCTGTGTTTGTATAATGCAGAAATTTCTAGATGAGGTAATCAGTGCATTTTTAAAATGATGTTCTTGCTTATGTTGGTGTGTGAGCAGTCAGCTTGGAGTCATTAATGGAGCCACAAAGTGCCTCACTCACTCAGTAATGGGTGTGATCATTAGCAGAATGTATGACAAAAAATGGCTACAGTAATAATCAGGATTAAGTTTCAAGCATGTCCATTAGTGGCCTTCTGCAAGACGGTGAGTGCAAAAAAGAAAAAGAAAAAAACAGCTTTGCTCACCTGTTTGTCAAAGATGCACAAAAACATGCATTTTTATTTCATTTTTTTTCTGTAAGCACATGAAGACATTAAGAATGACTCCTCAAACTTGTCAATCTGTGAAGCAAAATCCCTGTTTTGTTGTACTTTTTGTACTTTTTTCGGTTTGATCTGTTTTATCCTGAACCTCAGTGAAGAACGAGAGCAGATTATTATTGCAATGGCATCTTATCCACAGAAACACATACAAAATAGTTTTTTTTGTAGGACAGAGCTTATGTGCAGCCACATTTCTTCTCGTGATCACCCAGTACCCAGACACACTCGGTATATGTGACCTGCCCAGTATGTATTTATTGGGAGACTGTTAGAGATGAGACAGTGCTCTTAATTTATAGCCCTGAACTTTGGACTCACGTCAATGCATCTTTTTCCTCCACTGTCTCTCTGTGTTTCAGTTTGTGTGTCTCCCACCCCAAATAGACTTGTAATGTAATTAGTTACATTACTTTGTACTTTTACTGAATATTTCTTGTGGATCAGAGGACAATTTTTAACTTTAGATTTAGATAGAAAAGATTTTAGCAATTACCTAATGCCTTATACAGATCAGGTAAAAAGGAATTTTACCCTGATGACAACATTTTAGACCCTAACTAGTTTTGATGTTTTGTAAACAAATAGATATTTGATTTACATGTTTTGTGCACCTGAAAATTGCACAAAAATGTTTTTCTTCTTTACTGATTGCTCTTCATCCAATCTCTGCCACCATTAAGTCATTTCCCTTTCAAATTAATACGCTGTAATTGCAATCAAAGCAAATTTAGTATAGTTTTAAAAACTAGGAAGAAAGTCATACCAACAAATGTCAGAGATTTCATGCAATCACTTTCCTCATTATATTAGTTAGATGTGTGGCTAAGCTGGAAGGGGAAAAATGGATGAAAAATATGATAAAGAATTGATGGTCCTTTAAAAGTGGAAATAAATCCCAATTAAGAGCTCTCTCTCACCATTACTTTTGTTTTTTGATTTGTTATTCAGTTTGTAGCTGTGCTTTAAAATTCAAAGATAACTGGATTCTTCACCTTATGCACATTTCTTTTCAAATCAAGAAATGTGCAGAATTTTTTAAAACTTTTACTTTCTGCCCATGATAGGTTGTTATATTAAGGAAACAAAAGTTTTCAGTAAAGTACAGAATTTATTAAGGGCCTCCAATATACCAAAACCAAACAAAGTTGGTAGTTTAGTAAGTGAATTTATTGTTCTGGAATCAAATTTTATTGCAGACACGAGGAAAAGAACGTGCATTCTCTACCTATTCCTCCTTTAAATAAAAAAAAAATCTAAAATTATTTCTAATCTAACCTCAGTTGTACAAAACCACCAGCCACAGATTGCACCGTTTGATAATTTATTTAAAAAGTTAAAACGAAAGCTTGTTTGCAAAACTAGGTACACCAAAGATGCCACAAAATTAAAGCTGCACAATAAATCAGTAATATTTCCCATAATGTGATCAGTATAGGCAAAAGTAATATCACAAAGGAGTGTTTGAAATCCAATAATTGTATGTGGTAATATGCAAAGTGCAATAAATTAATGGTCTGCATGCTAATAATGTATATACAGTCCATTGGAAATCTGACTCTAAAGGTCACAGAGATACAAATGAGAGAAATTATTTATCACAAATGCTCATCGTCACAATTTTTAACAATAATTTTTCAAATCTTAATAAATTCCTGATATAGTGAAGTCCTAGAATTTAGCGAGAAAGTAGTTGCGCTGTGACTGTATACCCAGTGAAAGCAAGGGTTTTCTGCTGTTTAAATGTTTTTTTTTACTACAAATTTTACATTTTTATATTTGTTGTGCTACTAGTTTGTTCCCTTCAGCTTGTAACTTGTCATTGTTTTGCAATTTTGTCAGATCCTGAAGGAGCAAAATAAAACTAATCCTCAACCTTTTACAGACGTAACATGTACATGCAGTTTTTTTATGCATTGACATTAAATTGGATATTTTAACACACAAACTAAATCCTTTAAAAAAAGTTCAGTGCACAGGAGGCACTCATGCATGATGAAGCTATTATCAAACACAGACACGCACCAGTCCAGATATAAATGGTTGTACTTTATATAAGTGTGTGTCACTGCAGCTCTACTCATCCATCATCTGATAATATTCATTCTTTTATACCTTGTTGTTTCCTGCCAATGTTGTCTTTCCGTTAATCATAGCCACCTTTTCCATCACAGCAGATATATTATCCAGTCTCACACTTCCACTGCCTCCTAGTTTCTTTCTCACTGTTTTTAGTCTCTGATGACTTGCCAATATCACATTTATTTCAGTCTTATCAGTCCGTTCTCATACAGACACAATTTTTAAATGTTAATTACAGAATGACTCAATCCTTTGTTTACCTTCTTCATCAATGTTTTTCCTTGGCCCCCCTGTGGCCAGCCATATTCTCATATCTCATCTCCACGAGGCCTGCTGGGTAAAACACGGATGGTGGAAGGGCATCTAGAGTCAGATGAAATTTCTAATATTTTTGGATGAGGGTTGTTGAAAAATATATCGAACTGAAAGTAACTGCCACCATCAGCTGGTTCTTGCATATTTGATTGACATAAAGGAATCTTCTGTTGCAGAGAATCCACAGCTGTACCATTCTACCACAATTAACCCCAAAAAGTCCACTCTAAAAGGAATCCTTTATATGTTGGTTTTATGCTATAGCTTTAAGGCCAACTCAGTGGCAACAAATTTAGCTTCATTTTCTGATCATTTTGCTTGTTTTGGGTCCCCCAAAATCAGCGAATGGTACAAATGTAGCACTCTGACAACAGAAGAGTCTTTTCAACTCTTATTCTACCCCTAAAATCTCCCCCACCACCCACCTACCCTTTCTTTTCTGCACCCCATGGCCTGTGCACGGGTTTGCAGCGCTGCTAAGACTAACATGCGCCCCCCCTTCCCTTGGTGTTTGCATGCAGTCATTGCATCCAGCAGATCCTGGAGGCGGTGCTTCACTGCCATCAAATGGGCGTGGTGCACCGGGACCTAAAGGTGAGTGATGGGAATTGCTTTGCTGCCCACATAAAGTTATATATTAGTTATATTTTTTTGTCTTTGGGGTTCGTGGTTGAGCTGTTTCTGTAGTTTGTGGATTTCTGTTCTGTTGGTAAGACGTTGTAGTTGTTGCTTGCAAAGTCTGAAGAGTTATAGAGGGCTGTGGATCATCTCATTGCTCATATTACAGTTCAGACTGAACATAATACCTGGTTTTTAAATTAGAAAGTAATGTAGATTCAGAGCAAAATGTTCCCTAAGTTTTCTCCAGGTTTCTTCAGCTATACTAAACTCGCAGCTACTTTCTTGTATAAACATATCTTTTAGTGTGTAGAGAGTTCAAGCATGCAACAATGTCAAACATGCAATGCAGGTCATGTAGGCTGACCAATGCTTCTGCTATGTAACCTTTTTGTAGCAGGATTTCTGTCACAGCTGCTCACATAATATCAGCTGAGAGAGTACCTCATCTCAGGTTCTTTTACTTGACGGCGAGAAGTAATATCTATTCCTTTTTCAGGTATTCTGTGGTTTGGATTGATATTACACCCATGAAAACAATTTTCTTGCAAAATTGTAATTATTAACTTGGAATTAGTCTGTGTTTACCGGTGCAAGAAGAACTGGTTGTAAATTTAAAGGTGATTTTGTCAGTAATATTTTATCAGATTGTTCACACAGCCCTCAGTGCTCTAAAGGGATTTTTTTTTCTTTTTGCTGAGATGCTTTTACTACTTCTCCAAACATGTCAAATATGATCTGTGTCCATAAAAAAATAGAAATCAACCTGTTTTCCAGTCTTGCTTGTGTTGTACCTGCTGGTATTTATGTATGTTCTTCCTTTCTGTATGTTGCATCTTGTTTTGCATGATGCACTTTGTCAAGTAGACCTCTATGCAAATGTCAGTCCTAGCATTCCAGCAAAGGCTGCTGTGTTTATCAGAACTGTTGTGGGCAAAGGCTTTATTTAGCTTACGCCACCTATCTTATTTCACAGCCACGCACTGGAGAGTGTTTCTCGCAATAGGTCATAGTGTGATGACTGAGGACAGCCCGACTGACATGATCCCTCAAATTAGCAATACACATGACAACAGAGTCAAGTTGTGACTTTGTGCCAACAAAAACAATGTCAATGCACACATTGTTCAGAAGATGTTGTAATGTGCAGTGCCAAGTTTTTCAACTCCCTTGAGCTACAAACATTTAGGCATTCACATCAGCCCTGTTTAGTCCACTTTATTCAAACTTTAGTTGATTTACCTAGAAAGTCTGGTTCGTTTGGGGATGTGTGAGTGCAGAATTGGACTAAAAAAAGGCCTACAAATCAAGGTTTGGTTCAGTGGAAGTGAACATTGGCATGGTTCGAATACATAAATGAAATCTAAGCGGACCGCAGACTATTCAATAAGCAGGAAGCGAACTATAGCACATGGCATTCTGGGTAATACAACCAAAACAAAATGAAAGTCTGGCACTAGTGGGAGAAATGGCTCTTTGTCTTTTACCAAAGACGAAAGAGAAATTCTACAACTGTTAAAATCTGACTTCTTTCCATTTTTGTTTATATTTTGTGAAAAAGGAAGTTGTGCTCATGTCTTCTTCAGAGGTTTTTATGTTGATTCCTTTTGTGGTTCTTGGTGGAGCGCCACCACAGGCAAGGAGGAGAGCAGATTTTCGGTTAGTTAGGATTGTTCGACACAGTGCAATGAAAAAGTGAACCGCACCAGCTGAAAATCTAACAAATGTTGCACGTTTTGGCCCCACTTGCACCGAGTATATTGGAGTATTAGGTGTGATAACCCCTTTGGTGTATTTTTTTGGTATAAAAGTGACACAGTGTTTTTGAGGTTTTTGACACATTTGTATTTACCCCCCTTCGCTGTGATACCACTAAGTAAAATCAAGTGCAAACAGTTGCAGTCTGTATAAACACAGCTGTCTGTGAAGATTTTTTAGGAAAGATTAGTGAACAAGCAACATCAAGAAACGCAAGCAGACCAATCAGGGATAAAGCTGATTTAGAGCAGAGTCAGGTCATCAAACAATATGTCAAGTTCAAAACATTTAAAAAAACATCAATCCAACATCAGAACTGCAAACGTAGCAATGTAGTGCTCCCTAGAAAAGTGGCAAGAAGAAAGAGACATGGGGTCAAATGTGGAAGAGTGTGGAAGAAATGTTTTGGTCAGATGGAGTCAATGGGGCTGAATACAAATACAGAATCATTCTGAAAAAAACAAAACAAAAAAAAAAAAACCTTGAGCAAAATTTAACCTTGAGCTCCAGCTGTACCGTGTAGTATGTGTATACTGTGGCCCAGTCAAAGTCTAAACATAAGCAGTTAAAAGTGAAAAAAACTTGCAGCGTTGGTTAAGATATAACATGCTGAACATGCTTTCAGCTCAAATTGCTAAAAAGTTCGTTCTGCAAAGTACTGGGACGATGGGACTTAATATAAATGTTCCAGTTTCATTTGTCAGCATTTTTAAAACTATGCATAGTTGGTCTATCACATAAAATATAATAAAATACATTGTAATTCATGGGTTTAACATGAATGAGTGTCAAAATGTTCAAAGAGTATAAATACTTTGATAGTACACTGTATTTTACCATTAAAAATCATGGAGTTTTAAAATGCAGCTGCTTCTTAAAACATGTTTTGTGTTCTAATAAATCGAAGTTGACTGATGCAGTTGAGCTTCAGGTTTCTGCTCTGCAAACTCCTTAAAAATGGGCCTCTTTCCAACATTTGCATAGATATCTTCCACTCTCCCGCCTCAGTACCAGATCCTTAGCTGGTAAATAAATAGAATAGGAAGTGCGAAAATCTGAGACTGGGAAGTTCTCCAAATCAAACACCCACTCATGACCTGCTCTCCAATGCAGCTTTCCCATCATCTGTCGGTAACCGTCCCTCTCTGCCCTCCTCAACCAGAACCAGCTGCTAATCTTCTCTGTGCTTAGTCTGCCAAAAAGCAGCAAGAGAAAAGGCGGTGCTCTTGTGTCAAGCAGCACTGATGTTTGTTATTTAATGTTTGAATGTGAGCTCACCTTTTTGATGGAAGCCGCTGCTTCCTCACGAATTTCACACACATTCATGGTCGTAGATTATACTGCGTTGGCACCTTCTAAACTCCCTGGTTTACAAAAGAAAATGAGAACCTAACCAAGTGCAAGGAGAATATCGTGATATGATGTAGGCTCAAAATGGAAGCATTACCAATTCTTTTGCCTTCTTGGCTTAAGATGCTAGCAGAAGCACAACTTTAACTACATGTGTTTTGGGACAGGCGAGTCGTCTGATTTGAGGACAGAAAACAATGATGGGATACAGGCAGATGCTGCTGCATTGCAGGGGAAGTGGTGACAGAAATCCAACCTAAATATAATGTCCTAATTCTTAGATTTCAAAAAGTTTGGACACATGTTACTCTTCACTGATCTATATTAAGAAACAGCTGCATTAGCTAAAAGATGTTAAAAAAAATTAAAGTTGAAGCTTCACTGACACCAAGAAGTCTTTTTTTTCCCATGTTAACTTTGAAGTTAAGTGTTTGGGTGGGCGTCTTACTCCCCAGGCATCGACTGAAATAATTGAGTCTACCTATGCAGATTAAAGGGTAACTTTGATAACCAATATAAGTTATCATGTTAGCAATCCTGGTGATTATCCAGCATCAAGATTGTTGGAAAAAATGATAGCCCCAGATTATATTTTGTGTTAATATTTCCCACAGGAGGGCTTTATGCAGTAGTCAGAGCTGCCTGTTACCTTTACAGAGGCAATGATTAAGTGAGACTAAGAAGAAGAAAGTGAGAAAGAGCAGAGACCAGTGGGGATAGATGCCCATTATTAGAGCTCTCCTCTGACAGAGAATAATGAGGCTAGCTGCATTATCTAGGCCACAGAGATGGAGCCCATAGAGCCTCATTGTATGAGGCCAGGAAATAAAAGTGCTGCAGACTTATCAGATTGAACTGCTATAATGTGGACCAACTTCTGCTGTAAATCTGTCATTGCATGAATAAAAACATAAAATATGTGCCTTGCAAATGTTTGTCTTGACTGAAAGCAGCCTTCATGAACCCGTTTGCAAACTTTTTTGCATGTCTGCTTCTAGCTTTTACTCCATGAGGATTGTCGTTTTCTCGTCCTATAAGTTTTTTGATAACCTTTTGCCGTCTTCTTCTTCTCTTCAGCCAGAGAACCTGCTCCTCGCAAGCAAGTGTAAGAACGCTGCAGTGAAACTTGCCGACTTTGGCCTGGCCATCGAGGTGCAGGGGGATCAGCAGGCCTGGTTTGGTAGGTATCCAAGAAACAACAGCAGGAAATCTGGGGTACATTTTATTCAATTGACATAATAAACTACTTTGTCATTGTGTTTTGTTCCTTGTATGGAGGTAACTTACACATTTTATGAGCTAAACATAAAATGTGTTAAAGAGTACAGCTTGGATAACAAAATTTTGTTGCATTTTTTTATGTCTTTTTAAATTTGTGTTCTGTATAAAGTTGTGATTATAATATTTACTTTTGTAGAGAAGGAAGTTTTAAGTTTTAGGTTTTGTGTAGCCAACCATTTTTTATTTATAGTTTACTGCAATGAGAAAAATTTATTTTCATAAGTAAAGTTTTCTGCCAGTACTTTTTCATCAATAGTAAGAAATTATTGACTTAAAATGAGCTAATATTTCTTGCTGAAAAGTTACTTGTAACTTACTTTTGTCCTATTTCAAGTAAACTAAAAGGTTTGCACTAGAAACTAGACCAAAAATACTTAGTAGGATTTAGTGTTTTTGCTGTGAAATCTTGGCATTTGTTGGACATATAGGCCACAGTGTATGACTGAGAATTTCCAGCAGTTCAAGGCTAAAATACTGACTATTTTGTTAGTTTCTCTGCACAGTCTGTTGCCTTGCTAATCAATAGTGGATGTTTTTTTTGCTGTAGGGTTTGCAGGAACACCAGGATACCTGTCCCCCGAGGTATTGAGGAAGGAGGCATATGGCAAACCTGTGGACATCTGGGCCTGCGGTGAGTTGGAGAGAAACACTCGTATAAACACAACATCCATATGGTTTTTCCTAAGTGATCACACACAAAACAGCAGAAGGTTGAGTTGATGTTGTGTGTTGATTTGCTTTGTCGGTGTGTATGTTTTCTTGTGTGTTTGTGACTCAGGGGTGATTCTCTACATCCTGCTGGTGGGCTACCCTCCTTTCTGGGACGAGGACCAGCACAAGCTGTACCAGCAGATCAAGGCTGGGGCTTATGATGTGAGTCTCCGCTCTTTTTCCCTTCTCCTCCTTCCATCGCGATGCCCTCCCTGCTGCTCCTGCTGCCCCCGTTCTTACGTAACCGAGTCGCCTCATTCATATTTCAGGGGGTGCAAGAGCGCAGGTTTCGCAGTGAACTTCATGCCAAATAAAGAGAGAGAAACTGACTGACTCTCTGGCAGTGATTCTGTCTCATGGGACACAGACCTTAGTGTTTATGCCTAAACACAACAGGACCTGATGAGTTGAGGGTTCCTGAACAAATTGCTGGAGGCTCTGCTTGGACTGGCCTTTTAGTTTTAATAAACAATCCGACCAAAGGGAGCCGCTGTGGCTTTTATGTAAAAATCATGTGTGCTGTGTTTCTAAAACATTAATAAAGTTGGTAAAAGTAGTCCTCAACATTTGGTAATCTGTTCAGGGAAGAAAATTTCACTGCATGTTATTAATGACTTTAAGTTTGAATTTTTTCCAACCTTTTGCACTTTTGATTTTTTCCCCCCTGTATTTTCTTTTATTTAGTTTATTGCACTATGAAAATCTAACAAGCTTCTCAAAATGTGTCCTGAGCAGCCATGTTGGGTATCAACCCAACATGGTAGATACCCATGTACTCATCTGAGCACAGTCGTTGCAAAGCACAGGGGCGGGAACAGTGAGCCGTATGCATGAATTAATTGAAGCATTCAATCAAATACAGTCTGGCTCTTTAGAGAGCTTCACTCCTGCAGACAGAGAATGATATCTTCTTTTGAACACTTAATCATGGAAGGCTATTTTAGGGACATTCTGCACTATATTTATCATGTAGAGACCAACATATGAAATTGATATATTTAAAATGACTCCAATATAGAGAGTTTTATCAGATGTAAAAATCTTATTTAAAATGCAAATCTGAAATCATGCTGCTTGTTTTAGCAAATATTTGCAAAATCTTTGTTCTTTAGATTTAAAGACTTCTGATGTAATGAGACTTTTTAGAGGAGAGGAGTGAGACGTTATGTTCAGAAATCTTAATATTAAGTGTGAATAAATTAACACTAAATGTGATATATTTTACTGACATATCAGTGCTAATCTGGGACTCATACTAGAGCCAATTCCCAACTGGCCATTATATCGTCACATAACTTAAAATGCCTTGTTTAGTAAAATCTTTAAAAGTTGTGAGCTAATTATGTAGATGAGTGTGCAGTGAGTGTTTTTATTCACATTGCAATAGAAGCAAACATCTGTATTAAAAAACAACATATCTTAATTTATAGAGGTGTTTTTAGACATAATTTATATTTTAACTCTACATTTGTAACATCATGTCTGACTGATTGTTGCCCACATTTTAATCCGAAATTGTAAATACTTTTTTAATCGATTTGTAACCTGGAATAATTTTAATCTGGATTTATAAATACCAGCAGGGAATATTTAACAAGTAAAAGTATCAAGTAATCTACAGTCTTGGTTTATACCCACAGTTTAGAGCTGGATTTACAAATATGTCATAAAAACCTGTGTTTATAAACTATGTTTTAAATAACATTTATAAGTGGAGCTAAAAATATTCGCTGTCAATGTAAATCTCTGCAGTGCACTGAGATACATTCACTGCATGACAGGTGGTATTAAAACAAACAACCAAAAACAACCAAATCCAAAGTGAAGCATTGTTTTGTGATTTGGTTCATACAACCCCAGTGAAATCAGTTCTTTGTCTCACAATAAGAACTGGTGCTAAAATAACACCAGTAAAAAAAACTTATCACTATGAGCTGTTAAGTAGTTCTTAGTTGAGTTTCATGTTACATTTAAATGCGTTTGGACATCTGTTATGCTGCTATATTGCATTTTCTTGTATTTCAACTAATGTAGGGCTATATCATTGTGTTTTCTAGTTTCCATCCCCAGAGTGGGATACAGTCACCCCAGAGGCAAAAAACCTGATCAACCAGATGCTTACAATCAACCCAGCCAAGAGGATCACTGCTCAGGAGGCTCTTAAACACCCATGGGTCTGCGTAAGTGGTCCCGTCTTTGCTATTTAACCAAATTCAAGCTTACAGATGACAACACTGAATGTTTTCATGTTCTTTGTTTATCATGTCCTCTGCTTTACTTTCTCTTCCCAGCAACGATCCACAGTGGCATCTATGATGCACAGACAGGAGACTGTGGAGTGCCTGAAGAAATTCAATGCCAGGAGGAAACTCAAGGTTTGTTTGCATGCTTTCCGTCTCCAACATCTTTCTCCTCTCTAAAAAGCTCTCATGTGAGCTGAAATGAAATCAATTTTCCTGTTTTTCTTGTCTATATTTTTAAGTATCATTTGTAATTTCAGTATTTATGCCTGTATTTGTGAGAATAGCACACATTGCTCTGAATATACAGTTAATTAAATCATTATTTCCCTTTGATGATCTATAATGAACACATAATATATTTCAAGGGACCTATTACTCAAAGTTCATATTTGGCACTCTTTGGATTTCTGCTGCTTTTATAAAACAGCACAAATTTGTTTTTGGTAATAAGTTAATGTTTTGTGGCGTCTGAAAAATAATCCATTTCAAAATCCTCCCGAATATAATGTCACAGTGTGCTGTTACCTAGCAACCCCAGACTTGCTCAGCCCATCGCCTAGCAACCCAAGTGGAGCTCCAGCACATTTGGTCAGCTGGTTTTACAGTGGCTGCTGGAAAAGACAAGTGTTATGTCGTTGACTTACCATCCGGAAACCACCTTCTGCATTCGATTTGGTTGTGCAGAAGGCTCCACTTCTACTTTTCAAAGATATATTGATGTATGTTTGCGCATCTGTTTGCAGCCATTTTTATGTGCGAGTGTAAACTTCGAATTGGGGGTTGTGACCAGCAGCAACTTATTTAGATTTGAAGTGACAAGAAATTATTATTATTATTTCTAGATAACACTATCTGAGAATAATTTTGTGCAAGTTATGACCTAACTTGTCATAACTTGTTCAATGAAGTTTATGACAGGTCACCTTGAGATAGACTTTATAGTAAAAATGAAGTAAAAAGAGCAAAGTTATGCTGCGTCCAGAACTTTTCCTTTCATGCTGATTTATTGCCGACTTTTTGTGTGGATATAACAGCTTAGTTGTTGGAGTGTGACACTGTTACCCCGCTGCTTTCGGCCTTTCTTGGCACGGTTCAAATACCAGCTCAAAGGAAGCTGGAAAGAGAAGAGCAGGTGGCTGCAGGCAAATGTTGCACCATTCATCCAACATGCCATCAGCTGCCACCAATTCTCTCTGGCTTTTCACGCTGAAAATATAAACAGGCAATAAGATGATTGGAGTTAACAAAAAGCTAAATTTAATTATTTTAATATTAAAACATCAAGTGGGGCCACCAGCATCCTGTATTCTAGTGGAATAATCAATTCTTTCTATTTGTTAGTCACTCATGTAGTTGACAATTGGAGTTTGAAATTGGGAAAGATGTGGTATTGAATGGGACCGCATCTGGTTAAATGTGCCATTAACATTTGAGGTGTTCTTGTTACGCCTCTATAAAGGGGAGTAATGAAAACACGGACACAATGTTACTCTTTGCATGTCCGGTGTTATAATTTCAAAACAGTTTCAGACATTACTCTGTTACATTGAACATTACACACATTCTAGTTATGCCGGCACAGTAAAACAAATCGAACACACACAGTAGCCTACGCCGTTAACCAGGAAGCTAAGTATAGCATAGCAGCTCTTAAACTAGTTATCAAAATCACCGCAGCGCTCTCTGTTAATTAAACAAACATCGCTATAACAATCACACAACATTCTCTGTTCATTAAACAACCATCGTGTTAGAGCAATTTCTTATGAGTTCGAACTTTACCTATAAAGGGGAGTAATGAAAACACGGACACAATGTTACTCTTTGCATGTCCGGTGTTATGCCGAGAAATGCATGCCTGCCGAGAATTGCATCCCCTGTCGCGGGAGCGCGCATCGCTCTAAACTCTCGCATATTGACGAGTAAACGGGCTGAAATCCGACCGAAGAGGAAACTTTTAAAGATATTCGTAACATTATCACGTTTATTAATCATGTAAGCGCTAAATTGTGGGTTTTATTTCGCAAATTAATTGAAAAAACACTGATTTTTTTCACGTTTACTGAGCCATATTTGTCGAACGTTCTTCAGTGTCTGATGAACAAGTTCTCCGCAGCTGCTTTGAAATTCCAAGATTTTTCTTTTAACACCATAATAGCTTAAAACTTTACAAAACCGAGGCCCAATCCCAATTACGTAGAACATTTTAATTACGCTTAGCTGTCTAGTGTATTAATGTAGGGGAGATGCATTTTAATTTCTGAGCCTGCTAATATTTGCATCCCCTGTCTATTGTCCTGTTCATATGAAACTTATAGTGGGAACTCAGGGAACAAGTGTCATTATGTAGAAAAAATGTAATTTCCAAGTTAGCAGGGGATGCAATTTTTGGCAATATGGATTTCTAGCTTGCCAAAATTTGCATCCCCCCTGTTTTCATCAAATATGATCCAATTGAGGTGAAACTCATACCAGCAGTTCTTACAACTACTCTGGTCATGTAGGACAAGTTATTTCACTCTTAACTCTTTATTTCTCAGAGTTAGCAGGGGGTGCAATTTTGGCAATATGGATTTTCAGCTTGCCAAAAATTGCATCCCCTCTATTTTCATCAAATATTTTCAGAATGATATTAAACTAATACCAGTAGTTCAAAGAACTACTCTGGTCATGTAGAAAAACATATTTCACTCTTAACTCATTATTTTTCAGAGTTAGCAGGGGATGCAATTTTTGGCAATATGGATTTTCAGCTTGCCAAAAATTGCATCCCCCGTTTTCATCAAATATGATCCAATTGAGATGAAACTCATACCAGCAGTTCTTATAGCTACTCTGGTGATGTAGAAAAAGTTATTTCACTCTCAACTCTGTGTTTCTCCAAGTTAACAGGGGGATGCATTTTCCGGCAATGTGGAATTTCAGGTTGCCAAAATCTGCATCCCCGCTATTGTCATCAAATATTATTGAATGCATCTGAGAATGTGCTCAAAATGAAAATTGTCAGAAAATGCATGTCCTGCAATTTGGAGAATTAGGATAGTAATGTGTTATATGAAATGTTCTAGACAATGACACGTATGCTCTGAGCTACTAGAGTGACTTTCAAATCTGTACGACACTTTTGAGCTGAAAAAAAGGGCATGCAAATATCGGCAGCTCATAATTTGCTATGCCAAAAAATGCATCCCCCCAAGCTTAAAAAAAACAAACAGTTATGAGTGAAATAGCTTTTTCTATATAATCACATTTGTTCCCTCAATTGCTGGTATGAGTTTCATATCAATAGGATAACATTTGAGGAAAAAAAGAGAGGGAAAGCATATTTTGGCAGGTTGATAATAGGCTGTGCCAAAAACGCATCCCCCTGCTAACGTGTACAAATAAAAATTAAGAGTGGAATAACATCTTCTGCATAAGAAGAATAGTTGTATGAGCTTCTGCTATGAGTTCCATGTTATTAGCATAACATTTGAGAAAAATAGAGAGGACATGCAAATTTTGGCAGGAGCAAAATCCATATTGCCGGAAAATGCATCCCCCTGCTAACTTGGAGAAACACAAAGTTGAGAGTGAAATAACTTTTTCTACATCACCAGAGTAGCTCTAAGAACTGCTGGTATGAGTTTAATCTCAAATGGATCATATTTGATGAAAACAGGGGGGATGCAATTTTTGGCAAGCTGAAAATCCATATTGCCAAAAATTGCATCCCCTGCTAACTCTGAAAAATAATGAGTTAAGAGTGAAATATGTTTTTCTACATGACCAGAGTAGTTCTTTGAACTACTGGTATTAGTTTAATATCATTCTGAAAATATTTGATGAAAATAGAGGGGATGCAATTTTTGGCAAGCTGAAAATCCATATTGCCAAAAATTGCACCCCCTGCTAACTCTGAGAAATAAAGAGTTAAGAGTGAAATAACTTGTCCTACATGACCAGAGTAGTTGTAAGAACTGCTGGTATGAGTTTCACCTCAATTGGATCATATTTGATGAAAACAGGGGGGATGCAAATTTTGGCAAGCTAGAAATCCATATTGCCAAAAATTGCATCCCCTGCTAACTTGGAAATTACATTTTTTCTACATAATGACACTTGTTCCCTGAGTTCCCACTATAAGTTTCATATGAACAGGACAATAGACAGGGGATGCAAATATTAGCAGGCTCAGAAATTAAAATGCATCTCCCCTACATTAATACACTAGACAGCTAAGCGTAATATAAAATGTTCTACGTAATTGGGATTGGGCCTCGGTTTTGTAAAGTTTTAAGCTATTATGGTGTTAAAAGAAAAATCTTGGAATTTCAAAGCAGCTGCGGAGAACTTGTTCATCAGACACTGAAGAACGTTCGACAAATATGGCTCAGTAAACGTGAAAAAAATCAGTGTTTATTTCAATTAATTTGCGAAATAAAACCCACAATTTTAGCGCTTACATGATTAATAAACGTGATAATGTTACGAATATCTTTAAAAGTTTCCTCTTCGGTCGGATTTCAGCCCGTTTACTCATCAATATGCGAGAGTTTAGAGCGATGCGCGCTCCCGCGACAGGGGATGCAATTCTCGGCAGGCATGCATTTCTCGGCATAACACCGGTGTTATAATGGAGCATAACCGTTACGTCCCCCTACATTCCAACAGACAAAACAATCGAGCCCCGAACGACCAACAAACTCTCAAAACATTCGATTCAAAAGGTTAGACTTTTCAAGAACCACAAACAAACATAGGCGGAAAAGCAACAAAGAAAAGTAACAGTAATAAAAAGTACATTTCTTTTAACTTCTTTAAACTTAGGCTACCTTTTGTCGTATCTGTACCGTTTATCTGCCTGTAGTGCTGAACTTGAGAGACCAGAATAATCGATCGCAGATCATTAGATCTTGTTTTCCTTTTTCGTTGTTTGAAATAGTTTTATAACCACTACATTCTCCTCTTTCAATGATACAAGTTTTATAAAACCTAAATGACTTACAATAAAACTATTTGAACTATTTTTACATCAAATGGCCTCTTACTGATGTCCTGAGGTTAAATCAAGAATTTAAAAAGTATTGGTAATGCGAGCTAAGAACTTTTTAAAAAAAATTTTTCCCTTCAATTTCCCCAATTTGGTTGAATCTTCAACTTGAAATGACAATTTTATTGCTGATCAGTCACATTTCACAAGTCTCCAGAAAACAACAATACTTTGATTTTTAATTTCTCAACCTGATTCAGGAGTTGTTTTTTTTTTAAATCCATCTTTGTTTTCAATTTTAATCAAGAAGTAAAAAGATCTGGACAATGGTATTTTAATAAACTGCACAATCGATGTTGTTTTATATAAAGATGATTCTGATTAAAATGGTTTTTGTGCTTTCTTGCTCCTCTTAGGGGGCGATTCTTACAACCATGTTGGTTTCCCGAAATTTCTCAGGTAAGACCATTTTGGGTTTTTAGTTTCTTTACCTCTGAAGTAGCAAAAGTCATTTACCAGATTTCAGTGTCACTAAAAAGTTTGAGTTTGCAAGTTTGTTACGTTGTGGCTGGAGCATGCCATCATCTTGGAAGGAAGCTAAAATGATGGCATGCACCTTTTGACACAGGTAACAACAAATCACTTCTCTCCCTTAACCTAAGAATGTTAATTTGAAGTTTATAGAGCATGTTATAAAAAGGCAAAATCACATTATCATTTCATCGCCGCTCAACTTCAGTGTTTTCTTTAACCATAACTGTTTACTCGATTTACTCAACTGTTTTTAAAACAACTATGTTTCACAGATCCAGGATAGAGGTTAAAAGCTCAAAATATTAAAGCAAAACTACTTGAGCCTTCCTGGTATCAACAGAAGTTTGTTCCGATTTGACAAGAGGGGCACAAATTAACATCCACTGACAAACTCGAATTAGTCTGAAACAGATCTGCAAATATGAAAATTATCCACTACTACTTAAAAATAATAGTTCTTCCCACAGTGATAACTTCTACACCGAAGAGTGTTGTGCTCAACTTACTAGTCAGAAATAAGAGATTCTTAAATCGGTACAGAGATGATTAATTTATCTTTAATGCCAGCTGGGAATTCTGGTCCAAAGCACAATGACAATGTATTTTGGATTTCATTTTATACTTTTATGATAAAATAAAGGGAACACTGAAATTGATCCGAAAGCTGAAGACGCATAGTGTCTTTGTTGTTGTCTTTGTATGTCTGTATATCCCTGTAAAAATCCTAAACAGGAATTTGAACCTGCAGAGTAATAAAGTGAGACAGAATCAATATTTGCCTCTCACTGTCTTTAAAACCTTTAGCAGATGATTTTTCTGAAGGATTTATCAGTTTTTAACTTTAATTATTGATGAAAAACATTAAAAGTGACTCAGCACTTCCTGTTGGTGGGACGTTTTCCACTTTGTTGTGGTCAGTGAAATAAAAAGTTGTAGAATTACAAAGTAATACTGAATCTCAAATTGGGAGAAAACGTAACTTTTCAAAGTAAAATCCTGCCCGGAGCGAGTTGCCCTGGAACTTTCCTGATAATATTTGACCTTTATTTAGAATGAATCATTAAAGGTTTGTGTCAGTGTGAAATGTGTGTGTTCCGTGTGTGTTTATGTGCCTATGCTGACACGCTGCTTTAGTAAACATGACTCACAGTGGGCTTTCTGACTCTGTAAGCTGCACAGTTGGAAACTGTCTGAGGATCCACTTTGCAAGCACTCAGCCGACTCCCACAGCCACACACGCTCACGCTGACCCAGGTGTATAGCGCGGCTATTTCACCTCACTCAAGCGCCTTTTCTCACTCTTTTTCATCTTCCTAGGTACTGGTACTCCATTATAAGTGTGAGGCCATCAGGTGGATGAGTCAGAGAATGAGAAAGAACTCTAAAAATTTTATGTTTTTTAAAAACGATCTGAGTTGCTGCCCAGTAAATTAAAGCAATGAGTACTTTTTGCTTTTTTTTGTGTATTTTCAGCATCTTTGATGAGTCATCCATTACACAAAAAGTGCAGCTGGACAAACAGAGGCGGTGCTATTTATTTTTCATATGTTGATGTAATACTTTTTACCATAAAAAGTGAAAAAAATACATTTTCGACCGTCCTCTTTTGAACTTGTAAAATAAAATACAGCCCACATTCATGCGTCAAGTAATACTGTCAGTTTCTAAGGTCAGCAAGCACTAATACTGCCACATAAATATTAACATTGGCTAAAAATGACATCATTACCATTATCATCATACTAACATTAAGGCTTTTACTGAGAAAACATGCTGTAGAGTGTTAAGCTTCAAACAGATAAAAGATTTGTGTGTCTCTCCCTGACATTTTTCTGTCCCAAACCTAATAAATATAGTCTCTGGTGACACAATCTCAGTCAGAAGTTAACATTTGCTCATTATGAGCATGAGTGCCAGCTGCGTTTTAGGATTTTAATCATTTATTTTAGTCTTTTCATTTCCAGGATGGATTGTATTATACACAAGAGTAACACATAAAAAGTGTCTGACTGTGGAGCTAATCCACACACTGTCAGAATTATACAGTTTCACATCTGATCATTGAAACACATAAATTTGAGGTAAAACATTGCTTCTCTGCAAAACCACTAAATCTGGTTTCTAGTGTAAATATGACAATATAATACTTGAAATAAGACAAGTATACAACCATACTTTTCAGCAAGATACATGAGCTTTTTTAACAGTCAATAATGACTCAATATTGATGGAAAGTACTACTTCAATTGGCTTCACTTATAACACAATATTGTTCCCAAGTGAAATAATCTGCCACTGGAACAAATACTTTTTTCTCAAAATTAAGGAATTATTAACTTAAAATGAGGTGCTGTATCTTTCTTGAGCCTCTGTTTTTTCTGGTACTTTGAAGAAGAAACACATTTTTTATTTATTGTATTTAAATTGGTTATCATGTTTTGAAGTAATCCAGGAACCAAACCAAACAAGAAAGTGACATTTTTACATTCCATGTTATTATGAATGAGAACTGAATTCATTTTATTTGTTATTTCTGTTGTTTTGTTTATATTTAGGATATTTAATATATTTACCAGTTCCAGTGTTAAATGTTCAGTGGAATCTAAAGTTTATTGAACTTTGAGGATGTGTTCTTGTATAATTAAGCTATTACCTTTGTACTACTTGAAAATATTTGCAAAATAACAATATTATTGTTTATCACAATAACTTTTGGGACAATTTATTGTCCAGCAAAATTTGTTATTGTGACAGGCCTGTATATGTATGTGTAAGTTCAAACTAGGTCACTATTGTTTTTGAAAAGTCGTTTACTTTATTACTGCTCCATCCTGGGAAAAGAATGACTGAGATAAATTTTTAAAGGACTAAAATGAATGATATTCCTGCCATTGATGACTTGATGTAAAATTCTCACCGGAACTGTAAATGGATCCCCACCAGTGAGCCCTTCCTGTTCCCCAACCTGCTCACCGACTCACACTCATCACTCTTGAATATCGTACCCATCGATCCCTCCTTCATCACCTCTTTGATCCCTTTCTCCCTCCTCCTTTAATGTCTAACTCTTTTTCTTCACGTGTTACTGGGTTTTTGGATTTTTAACAGTCGGCAGCAGGCAGACCACCGCTCCAGCCTCTGTGACTGCGGCAGCGGCAGCTGTGGCTGCAGCCGCTGGCACCACTGCAGGGCTGGTGGAACAAGGTAGCACGGTGGCGCACCCAGGGCATGCCACCCCTCACCCCCTCTGCTCCTTCTCTGTTCACTTAATTAATTAATTAATTTTTTTAAATCTTTGACCTCATTCTAAAACTTTCTCTAACTCTCATATCATTTTGTTCCTTATCTTCTCCCGGAGCCTGGGAGTTCAGAGCATGATGGCTGACCACACTGCTAACTACATCTGTCATTAGATGCAGGACTAGCTTAGTTTTCATCCAATTATTTAGCCTAAATTGTGTTTTTCAGTTGATTCTGTTCATGTAAGTCAATGTTTTTAATGTTTAAATTTACTTTTAGACAAAAATATGGACTCTGAGTTAAGTTTATAACACTTTGAATATTATATAAATATACAAAATAAAAAAATTTGGGCTGGGCAATAAACTGATTTTATTGATAAATTAGATTTTTGATTTGAAAGATTTAATTTTCCACCAATGCGCTCCTGTGGTTTCTATAGTGCAGAGACGTTTTGGACGTTTAGCTCAAATTATGAGAACGTTAATGCATCACAAGAATACAGACGTAGTAATACAAGAATAAAGTTCTACAACAATAAAGTTGAAATAAAATGAGAATTCTCTCTCAATATTAGCAAAGTAAAGTTGAGCATCTTGTGAAGTTATAGTTTGGTGTAATTTCTACAGATAGGGAAACATTTTAATCTTCCAATATGTCAGCATCAATTTATCATCAGTAGCAGGACTTTGAAGTGTTTTGAAGAAGTGTTTTGAAGAAGAAAACACAAAGGTGGTTATATAATCTCTTAATAACTCAATTAAAGCTTTTTACTCATTAAAATCACTTTCAATCTTTATTTTAGGATTTTCTTTATTTTGGTAATATTATAACATGACTATATTCTTTATTAGACAAACATTCTCGTTGGCGAGCCCCAATACTCTATCATATAACTTATGGAAGGTGATTGAAATAAAGTCACTTTTTAAAAGTATTTTCTGTCATTTGTAGTTTCTTAAGTAAGAAAAAAATACATTAGATATGAAAAAAATAGCAGATTTTATTTTTAAACATCCCCCAGCTCTAGTTTATATTTACAGTTAAGTGATGTAGCCACAAGACACCATTACAAAAAATATTTAATCTCTCTGGATATGTTAAATTAGTTTAAGATTTAACTTATTAATTAAGCTCTATGTGATTGTTTTGCATCAGTTCTTTTCAATAATATATAGCGGATGAAAGCCTAGCTACGACTGTTAGCGCTCATGTCGCTTCCTGTCTGAGATCTGATGGTGTGGCTTCGGTTCCGATCACTGCTCTGTCATCACTCCATTTCATCCCATCCTCTCATACAGAGCATGGCCTTACTCCAGTCAGACTGATGTTCTGTCCCTGTGTTTCCTCTCAATCTCTTCCTATCATCCCGTGTGTCTCAACTCCTCATTTTACATCTATTCTTTTGTCCCATCATCAAACATTTCTACCTCTGATTTTCGTCTTCCTCCTTCACGCCACCAGGTTCGTCTCCATATTTTCATCAAGTTTCCATGTTCCCACCGTGTCACTCCCATCTCAGCTGTTCTCTTCACTCTTCTCTCCCTCTCTTCTCTTTTCTCTGTCGGACAGTGACACTGGAAAGTTCCCCCCCTGCAACTTTTAAAGGATGGAACTGCCCGAGAGCTGCCAGTGAATGCTGCATGGGGCACTGGACTGGTGCATGCGCTGCTGCACAAAAGGGATTTTTGGTGCATGGTGAACACTGCAAATGATGCAAGACTGGGCATGCTCACATAGGATGTTGGTCTATTGACCTCCGTTTGACCTTTTAATGGTGTCAACTGAGATATTAATACTTTTTAGCATCTTTTTTATATTAGCATGCCTATAGAGAAACTTTTCAGTCAATGGAAATGTGATTACAACCTATTTTACTTTGATTAGCCTAAATATGATGACGAAAGACCTCTGTAAGATGAAGCATGATGTGAACACAGCCTGGGATGCTAATGCTTCATAAACACAAAGAAAGACCAAAACAATTTCCTTTGAGACCAAATTTCTGACCTTGTCAAAGTCGCAGTTGTTTGTAATATGTCTGTGAAGGATTGTTGTTGAGACTGACTGAACCAAAGACAATCTGTTGATTCTTTATTCGGTTTAGTTGGACCAATATAGGATTATAATACTGACTTCGTTCACGTTGATATCATGGCTGATTGTTAATAGTACAGAGCTTTGTGATGTCTTTATACCCAGTGATCTTTTCCACATTTTATCACATTTCAAACAGACGTTGATGGGATTCATTAACAAAGTTGTGGGTAATTGTGACATTGGGCATCTTAATTTGACCTTTTATGCTTTCTTGAACAGGTTAGATAGAATTATGAACTATATAAAACATGTTTGCATTTTTTGCACAAAATCATTGTTATAGAATAGGATTTCAGTCTCCTCAGATCTGCCTGTTTTGAGCTTTCAAAATGGGCTGTTTTAGGGCCTTTGTCTCTTTAAATCCAAATAAGCTGCTCCTGGTCACGCTCTCTGCCCCCAAACTCAACATTATACTTTCATGTGAAAATGGCTGCCAACAGATGCACAGTGATACACCTATACATCTTTGAAAAGCATCAATAGAGCCTCCTGCACAACTAACAAGAATGTAGCAAGTGGTTTCTGAATGGTAAGGCAGAAACAAAAGAAACAAAAGACTTTTCCAAGAGTTTTTGACTCTTAAATTGTATTTAAGAGTCAAAAACCATTGTACAGAACATACAGCAGGAAAAGCCCGATGGTGCTGGAGCTCTGTTAGGGTTGCTAGGTAACGGCGTCGTGTCCGTCAGTTGTGACTTAAAAATTCGGGAGGTTTTAGTTTGACCTCTTGAGCTGTTTTAAAAAACAGTTGAGACTCAAGTAGAAGTATTCAAATGTGCAAGATGTGAAGTTTATATAAGCGGTTTTCTGGGCTACATTGTTTTTGTTCTCCCAGCTAAGTTTTCTTGTTCTTAATCACAACAAACTCTTCATAAGGTGCGTGTGTGATCATAGCTAAGTCTTCTGAGATATTCTTGATTTTTACTATTAATCTTTGTGGATCACTCAGACCTTTCTAATGATGTACAGTAGAACTTGGATCTGTACCTCAACTTGTTCTTGAAAAAAAAAACGTTTATTTTTCTTCTGTCAGAGCTGGTCTCTGTCGATGAAAACCACTTACACACTCTGCAATAACTCTCCAACATGACAGCCTTGCTGTCAGCTAAGGGGATGTTAGTAGTGCCTGTGTCCTTGTTTCGGTGGTCCACCGGGACCCCTCGGTCCTCTCCATGTCCCTCAGCTTCCATGAGGCTCCACTCAAATATTTATAGTGATCTGCCTCACCAGCTTACTGGAGGCCCTGTTCTATTTTGTGCATCATACACACACATGCAGTCACCATGTAGCAGTTCAGTAAATGCTGTTTTAATGAGAGGGTACTCCAGGCAGTCTTGCACCTGAGTGCAGCTTGTTCCTGCCTGTTAATGTGGATCCATGCCCATCCTTGCTCTGTTCCTGCAGTGATGCATCGTGCTATTTTTGACCGATTCTTGTTCGTTTTGTTTTTAATCTGTTCTTCCTCTCTCTTCTCGCTTCATGTGTAATTTTTGGCAAGGTAAGGAGTGCCCTCCCCATCCCCCCATTCTCCATCCCCTGTTTTCCCACTCCTATGGTATCAAATAACCTCCCGTATATTTTCAGGTTTCCTCAGAGCTCCCTCACTTTGCTCTGGGTCTAAAATTGTCTTTAATGTGCATCTCTAACGCCTGGATGCTCAGTGAGACTGTTTTTGTTCACCCCCCACAGTTCATCATTTCTCTTGTCTCTCAAATCCTCTCCTCTTAACAAACGACCAGAGATTAAGAGAGCATGAACTTGACTCTTTTCTGACCCCGTTTAGTCCCCTTCAGAAGCAGGCAGCGTTTGGGAACTGTGTGCATTCATGCCATTTTCTCCTCTATTTATAATATTCTGCTTACTTATCATTTCCCTTTTCCTCCTCCCCCCTTCTTTACTGCTGAATATAAAAATTTACATCAAGCATGAGATGATCACTGAGGCAGACATGAAAGCCATGAAAAAAATGGGAAAGATTTTTCTTCTCTTCTATTTTTTTTCTCTCTTTCTTTTTAAATAAATTCTTGATTTTAAAATATTCAAACATATGCTTAAAGTCTAGTTCCATAAAAGAGTTTAATAAATCCACAAATTTTCTCTATATCTATCTTTGGAACATGTTTAGATACAAAAAAAAAAAAAAATCAGGGAGCAAGATGTTCAGAGAACAAGAGGAACAAGAGAGATGAAAAACAGGAGAAGGAAAAGAAGGGAAAACATGCCAGACTTCCAGAAATAGTGGTTTTACGTAACTGGCGGGACGCTGATGTGATTGCATCTGATTAGACTTGAAACTGCACTCAGCCACTTGAAGAGATTTCATCCATGGAAGCAAGAAAGACCTGAGTCACACTTTAACCAGCAGGTCATGTTTTATTCACGCCAATGTACCGACAGGAACAGATTGCTCTCCTTTAGGTTATAATGTACATATTTTACAATGATAGTGTACCTGATATAGTGCAGTTAAGTTTATCTATGTACTTCTCTTTCACATCAACATGCTGACATGTCCAAACTTTAATTTTTTTTAAATATTTAATGATTGTTTTAATCTTCACTACAAAAAAAAACAACAACAAAAAAAAACAGAATCTTGCAAAGTATTTTTGGTCTAGTTTCAATGGAAAATATCTTAGTATTTGAAATAAGACAAAACTATCTTACAAGTAATTTTTCAGCAAGATATAAGAGCTTGTTTTACATAAATAATTCCTTAATATTGATAAAAAGACACACCAGTTCCACTTATTATAAAATATCAAGATATTATTCTCATTGCATCCTACACCAAATAAAAAAATGGTTGGCTATGGAAAAACCAAAACTTAAAACTAAATTAAATTAAATAAAGCTATCAGCTCCCTTCTCTACAAAAGCCATTATTAAACCTATGGGTTTCTAGCTTTTTTTTTTATTATTATGTTTGTTTTCATAAAGACCTGGCTATGTGTGGATGAAACCTTATTTGCACAAATGTGAGTAAAGTGGCATTTCTATCGGTCCTTATGAGAGATCTAACATTGCATTAAAAAATTCATCCTGTTTAAGCCAGTCTCAAAAAATTGCAATACTAGTACTTTTAAAATCAATATTAAGGAATTATTGACTTAATACAATATGTGATATTTTGGCAGAAAGTTATTTGCAAGTTAGTTTTGTCTTATTTCCAGTGCACTAAGATATTTGCAATAGAAACTAGACCAGAAATACTTGTTAAGATTCAGTGTTTTTGCAGTGTTCTAGCTCGGCTCGCTCCACCAACGTTTGAGCCCCTCTGGGGGAAACATTAATTCAAAGCAGCCAGACTTCCTTCTATCTATTCTTGAGCAGAACTACCTCGCAGACTACTTATAGTTTCCACTAGCTGTTGCGAGGGATTGTTCGTTTTACTACTCATCAGAGAACCGAGTCTAAAGTATTATTCCCATCTCACCCCTTCCCTCTTTACCCTTAATTAGAAAGCAGACTGGAAACTAATCCTCCTTAAGGCCTCCACAGGCAGGGCTTATTGTTGGGCTTACATGGCCGCCGTGTGTGGTGGCCGTCATCTTTGTTTCAGCTTTCTTCTCGTCCCGAGGGGAACATTCGAGTCGGGATACTTTTTATTTCACTGACAACAACATTATTATTATTTTTCTTATTCACCCCTGGAGCCGCTCTCTAGCTTGGAAGTATGCTTGAAATCCTAGTTACATTAACTTCCCATCCGTTTTCGTTTGAGTTATGGAAGAAAAGGACTCAACAAAACCCAGATGTATTCAGTTTTGCCAATAAAAGCACATTTTATGTGAAGTGCATGCTTCACATAAGATGTGAAAGGAAGCAACATCAAGAAGAGTTGGACTTTTAAATGAGTCACTAACTTAAAGTAGTGATGGATATTGGAGGTAGGTGTGATTTCTTAATTGGAAGGTGCCCCAAAATAGTTTTTCAATGCCTAACTAAGGCTACAGCTGCTAATTTTTGCTTCATTAAAAAAATGATTGAGTAGAAAGTTGAGCTGTACAATATTAAGAAGATGTGGCTCTGATTAACCTACATCTCCCATTCTTTCTCCTCTATATTGTAGCCTCTCTATTATATCTAGGTCAGGTGTGAGCAGAAGAAGTCTATCTAGCTTACGAAATAGAAATCTATCTTTCATGACACATGGAATATAATTGCCCACCAGAATTTGCACATTTTGATAACATTTCTCATTCAGAATATTTTGCAGCTCAACTACAAAGATCTAATGAGAACAATAAATCTTAAAAATGCCACAAGTGTTGTCTTTGAAAGACGAATCAAAGTATAATCAACTCAGAAACTGTATGTTTAACTGCTTTGTTTTTTTTTTTTGCATTCATCCCTGCAGCAGCCAAGACTTTACTCAACAAAAAGGCAGATGTTAAGGTAAGACTTTATTGTCTCCCTCAGGCATTTCAGGCCTTCTTTCTCTTCTTTGTTTGTCCTTGTTAGTCTGTCTTCTCTTCCTCTTTGCTTTTTTGTCTTGCTTATTTTTTGTTTTTGTCAAGAACAAATGTATTGTCTTGTCCTTTCTCGTGATAGACGTTGGATTTGTGGGCTTGTTTTTCACTTGTGTGCATCCAAACGAGGGCTTGTGAGTTTTATGTTCGGCAGTTTTAGATACTTTTACATTTAAAAATGGCTCTTATCTGGATGCACATCTGCTCTGCATGTTGCTCCCACTAGTGCGTCCTTCTGATTTCCCCTTTTAAGCTTGAATCCTACCATTATCTGCGTCTTCATTATTGAATAAAACCATCTGCTGGCCCTCCTCATTTCATCACTTCCTCTCCCTTTCGTTGCTTCCTTTTCCTCCTCACCCCATCTGGTTGTTAACCCCACGTTTCCACTCATCCTTTAATGAAGATCTCTCGCCATCCCACGCTCACGGAGACACTCCGCAGTAACACATCCCACACACAGCTCCCATCAGCGTGTCTGCATGCATGGCGCTGAAGCATGGAACATACTGTTCGGCTATGCGTTATGTTGGAGTTTGCACAGGTGAGCGTTTGTCAATATGTCCAGTTTGCCTTTTTTAAAATCGGACACCCAGAAAGTGAAAATGTGGGTGTGAGCGTGCCTGCACATGGAAAGTGTGTAAGCGTGGGTGTCGGTGTTAAGTGTGCGTGTTGGTGAGAGTGAACGCCCCCCTTCCTGCTTGTTCGGTTCAGCAGGGAATGTGACTCCAGTTCCAGGAATAGCTGCCAGTCTGGACCCTGGAAACTCAAACGACAGAAATAGACTCTTACTTCCAATGCGGCGCTCTCATCGCCTAGCAACAGGCTCCCCACACAATCGCCCCGAAGCATTTCTAAAGTCGTCCTCTTCATTTGCTAATGTCCCCGCTTTTCATCCTTTTTCTCCTCTCTTCGCCTCGATTCTCCTTATTTCCTCCACATGTCCTCATGTTTTTGGGGCCTCCTCTCATTCGTTTTCCCTCCTGGTTCATTAATGCATAATGGCACCTGATGCTTCCCAGCTGAAGCACCTGTCCAGCGCTTGCAGGTGACCTCTCTTTGGCATTATCTGCCCTGTAGCACCTTTAGCCTCCTCTGCTGCCAGAAACGTCAATTAAAACTTTCACTGCAAAAATACAAAACCTTACCAAGTACCTTTGGTCTAGCTTCTGGTGCAAATATCTTACTATGCTGAAATAAGACAAGTAACTTTTTAGCAAGCAATATAGGCTTGTTTTAGGTCAACAATTTCTTAATATTGATTGAAAGGTAAAGGACTAGCTCCATTTATAAAATGTTGTAATTGAAGTAATCTGCCAGTGGAACTAGCACTTTTCTTAATCAAAAATGAAGGATTTATTTGCTTAAAACAAGCTCTTATCTCTTACTAAATCAAAACGTTTTGTCTAATTTCAACTGTAAGATTTTGTATTTGTGCTGTGTAGCTACATTTATTATGAAATAACTTAGAAATTTTAAGTTTCTATTGATTATAAATAATTTTTTATTCATTTTTTGTGGTGCTACTTGTTTCTTGTGGTTAGAAGAGAGGGCCTTTTTTTTATGTGCGTTTACCACCCTGTTTCGCAAACTTCCTTTTTATGCAACGTTTCCCTGATGTCATTCCTTTCTTGCTTGTACCACCTTTCTTTTGCAAGAGCTTTCAAGTCAGACTTTTCTGAACACTGACTTCTTTTCATGATTTTTGCTCTTCATATTTTTTGGACAGAAGTTGTGTTTTAATCTTCAGTCGTCATCATTGCTTGTTTTATTTTCTCCCAACCTCTTCTTTTTACCGATCATCTCCACATCCATCAATAAATCCATCTCATCAATTGCCTGAGGACAGAAACGCAAGTCCAGCTCGACTGTCCAGTACATGGTGAGCACGCTGATTACACATTTGTGCCCTCACTTCTTTTTTGATCATGCTGTTCAATTGACTTTCTTTCGCTTTATTCATCTCTCCTTCACTTTCATTCTGTTTGACAACCGGTGTCAGTACATTGCCAAATTACAAAGGTTTTATTTGAATGTAATTTATGTTTTTTTACATGCTGCTTCTGAGTTGCAACAGGAGCCACTTCACTTCACTTCCTTTTTTATCAACTGACCCAGTAAAGATGAGGCACAAAGTTTCAGAAGGAAAAAGTTTAAAGACAATCCTTGTTCTTAGTATAATCATTAGAGCAACTCAGAAGGTAAACAGATTGTATTAAATGGGAACTCTACCTGAGACTTGGACTTAGATCTTGTTGTGTCTGGATTTGGGCTCAACTCACCTAAAACGTGACTCTAATTATCTAAGTGATTGACTCTCAAAAGTACATATGTTTATTACATTGAAAATGAGGTAAGAGAGAAAAGAAACTTGATTGCAATTGTTCAATGATGTTCTGAAAAGAAGAAATTGTTCACTGTTTGTGACTTCACCTAAAAACAACGTGCTTTGAATTCAGAAGCAGTACATCTGATACATCACGGAAACCTGTGATCAGGCTGAAACCTGTGAACATAATTTATTTTCTCTAGCATAATTAATTTAGCCTTTTGTGAGCTTTTTTCAAATGACACAAAGATATTGAGCCACCAACATGGTTCGATTGAAACGCTGATTCATCGTCTTCCTCACAGATTGTTGCGTTGATGAGGAATCCTTTATCCGATGAAGACGGGCTTGGTTGATGCTATGTTTGTGTGAAAGGAGGAGTTTGTTTGGGAATATTTGCATTTGAGTTTGCTGCATGGGAATGTTTGTTGTTTTTATGGCTGTTTTGTGTTTTTATGGGGGTTTTTTCTGCTTCTTTGTGCTTGCCCGCTTTCGCCTTTGCTGTCCTGTGTTGGTTCACTGGTGTTTAAATGTCATATTATGGCAGATCACATTAACATATGAGCACACACACACGCACACACACTTCTCTTAATAATTTCAATCAGATATTGTCAAGTTGAAAGTAAGCAAAGGCCAAAAATGTTAATGATTGTAGATCTAAAACATACAATCCAGCAGATTTTCCTTATTTAATAAAACAAAGCAAACAAAAATGTCCAAATTATATCTGAAATATGCAGTTTTTATTTTATTTGAATTTTTATGTGTGTATTCTCAGCAATGCAAACAGGATATGGGTCGCTCATTCTTCAAAGCCTTTCCTTTTTATTTTGTTTACTAACATTTTCTAAAAGGTTTCAACAAAGTCTGAGTAAAAGTTGCTTAATATTTGTGGATTTGTGTTTACTATGAAATGTAATTAAATAAGTACTTTGTCATATTTTATTTCCCTGCATCTTTTTAGAAAGGCAGTCCACATTTAATTGTTAGATTTGTTTGACAACATCAAACTGCAACTTTGAGCTGCCATTTTTTGTAGTGTGGCTGCGCAAAATCACTTTGAGGGCCACAAATGGCCCCTGAGCCACACTTTGGACACTTGTGTTATAAAGCACATATGACTCAGCATAGCAAGTTGCAGAACAACTTGAAAGTGAAATTAAATCTTTATTTAATCTCCAATGTTGTTTATTAACCGGATCAATTTCAAGCTCGCCAAAACTTTCCCCACTTTCTAAAAGATTTCTTTCTCCCTTTTTAAAATTTTCACTCCTACTTCACACAATTCTTGGCATTAAGCAAACACTGACCTCGCTTGACCTCGCACCGATGAGTAGGAACTGCTGAGACGGAACAGATTTGCATGTTTAAGATTTTATGTAATGGGAGCTGACTTTCTAAAAGTGACTCACTTTGATGATTCACTTCCACTCCCAGTATTCTGCCCCACTTAGCAATTTCAGGTTGATATTTTCTCCCAGCAGGATTAATGTAGATTCGATGCCAAACCTCTATGATCAGTGTGATCTAGAAAGAAAGTGTTTGCTCTTTGATGTGCGGCCTTCTAAACAGCATTTCATCAAAGCTTTGGGGAGGAAAAAAAAGGAGGTTCAAGGCCAAAAAGCATTGTTGAATGGTTGCTATGTGTCACTGGTGACAGTGAGATGATGTCACCCCCTCATTATCATTAACCAGACCAGTTTGTAGAAATAACATTGAAGATAATGTTCACTGTTTACCCCTGCAGCAGTCTTCTGCTTTCTGGACTCCACACTGTATATGATATGCACCTATTTTTATCCTGGCATGCTTGTGAGGTCATTCACCTATGATTATGTTCCATCTCTTTATATGGAGATTTTTGTTACACATCTATTGAAAAAAAACAATTATATGAAAAAAAAACCATTTGCTAACATGCATGTGCAGAAAATGCAGTTTTCCTGGAATTTGTAGTAAAGACATTTTTACTAGTAGCTTGAAAAATGTATAGCAATCCAACCTTTGGAGTTCATTTCATTTCATTGTTTTAATCAAAATTACCAGCTCGACAATTGATGGCATCCCCAACAAAATCCCAAAAGGTGAATATAACTGAAGCTTATTTCAGATAATGCTACACTTTTTTTAATTGATCATAGCATTGAGGACATTTTTTCTTAATAATGTGTAACACAGACTCTTCACTCTTCAAAAATGATGCATGTTGTTTAATTGACACAAATATTTCAGTGTGAGATTATGTCACAGAATAAAAGATTAACTTATTTTAGTTTTTTTTTTTTTTTTACAGATTTTTACCAGAAACACTAATAAACATGTATATACAGTGCAGTGATTTTTTTTTTAAACTCTTTTGTCTACTTTCAAAAAGTTTAAATGTCTTGTAATCTACTAAAATTGATCTTGATTGTTTCCCAGGTGTTTTGAGGGTCTTCCAATGTTTTTATTTTGACTTTTGCTGCTTTTTCCACTCAGTTTTTATCAAGTTATTTCTGAAAAAAACAGAATGTTGTGCTGTTTGCTTAAAAAGCTAGAAATTTGGGAAAAAAGAAAAAGGACAAAAGTGTTTAAGGTTTAAAACCCTAAAAGTGACTTATTATGCTTCCTTGAACAGATCAGGATAAATCTTTGAGCGATACCAGACATGTTCATGCTTTTCTTTTTTTCTTCTTTTTTTTGCACAAGATCATTCTAAGATAACGATATTTAGATTTTATTCTGATGTTTGGGGGCCTCTTATCACTTTAAATCTAAATAATCTACTGCTGGCCATGCCCCATAATGCAACATTTACACTTGCATGTGAAAATGGCTGCAAACAGATATGCAACCGTACATCTTTGAAAAGCAGAAGTGAAGCAAGAGCTGCTTCTCTGAAGAATTTACAAAACCACAACTGACTTGTCTTGTTCTGGGGTTTTTTGAAGACTGTCTTACAGATTTCTGCTGGTTTATTTATTTAATGTATCAAAAGTTTACAGATAATCTTTATTTCTGGATGAAATCATATGGTCTAAACATTTATCACAATAAAAACCACAAAGAGCTAACAAGCTGTTGATAGGTTTATGTCCTAAAAAATTTGAGAATAAAGAACAAATAATCCCTTCTCTATATATATAAAACATATCACATATTTATCTGAAAAGGAGTGAAAAAAGAGCGGCTTGGAAGGAACCTCAGAAAACAAATATCGACTGTAGAAAGTGTCTCCTTGGGAGCAAAATGAATGATTGAAAGATGATTCAAGACTTCGGCACAAAAACATGACTTCACACTGGTGAAGTGATCAATCACACACACACGCACACACACACACACACACACACACACACACACACACACACACACACACACACACACACACACACACACACACACACACACACACACACACACACACACACACCTGCATGGACACGCACTCTTGCTGTTGTTAACACTTGTTGTGTCTCCTCCCTTTTCCTCTCCTTTCCTGCACAGCCTCAGACAAACAGCACCAAAAACAGCATAGTCACCAGTCCCAAAGGAAACATCCCTTCACCTGCTCTGGTATTTACCTCCCAATTTCCCTTCACCTCAGTGTGTAGGTGTGTTTGTGCCTTAAAGCCCTCTGTCTTCTCCCCACTGCTCTCTATTTGTGTTCTGTGTGCATCCGTCAGTTGAAGGTAATCATCGGCAGGTTCGGTTTTAAATCAGCAGGTAGTGTCAGGAGACATTTCCCTGTGGCAGCTGGGGATGCTGTGTGACTTGCACTCAGGTTGGTTTTGTGTCGCTGTGGCATTTTACCCTTCTGTATAAGTTTTCTAAAAATGACTGAACACCGACAGCCTGCAGGGACTGCCAGTGTGTGTTTACTGTAGCAAAACTATCTCCAGGAACACAAATAACATCTCAATCAATCTTTTTTGTGGATGTTTAAAATCTGATGGATTGAGATGGAAGCTGCAACAAGAAGCTTCTTTAATGTGTGCTTTTTGTCGTAATGCTTATTATCAGCAGCGGTTCTATAAAGTTTTCACCTGCTCCAAATCGGATTAGGATTTAGTCCTAATTGGGAATAAACAAATTAATAGCAAAATAAATATTTTATTGCCTAGAATGCAAATAGTGAACGCTTGATTATATGTTGCAAAGGATGCATCTGCAACTAAAAAAATGTTTCTAACAACACAATACATTGATTATTTTTGCAATAAAAACAAGAATTAATTGATAGCAAAGGTGCTTAATAAGAAATTTTTAAAAGAATTTTAGCCAGGTGAAACTAATTACTCCACTTCATTTATGGGTAACACATATTTCTTTTATATCTTACATGCAAAATGTAAATATTTGTACAGTTTTGTTTTGTCTTTCAGCAAATGGCATAGTTTTGACTCCATATGCTCCAGTTAACGATCAATCGAATACTAAATTAGTTCAAGTCAAATCAAAGTTTATTTGTATAACATATGTACAACAACTTTAGTTGACCAAAGTTCTTCACAACAGTCATAATAACATCGTAGGAAGAGAAATGATGAAGCAAGAAATAAAATTATGTTTGGTAAAAATATTAAGACAATTATAAAATACCAAAGACATAATTTTAGCTGCAGTGATTTCCCAAAAACTCAAATCAGGTACTAATATCTGCCTTTTTTTAAGCTGGTCTTGAAGACCAGAAAAAATAGATGACTATTATTTCAGTAATCTTTTCAATTATTTCAGCATTAGTACAGTTTCTTCACCATGTAAGAACAGAAAGTTTTGGAAAATATGTTTTTTTTTCTTCAGTCTTCTTCCCAGGCTGCAGAAAATTCATCATTTGTGTTATAAATCCACATTGAAATTGTGGTTTTGTTTTTTAATTCCACTTTTCTAAAAGTAGGTCCTGTAAATTGTGAAATACATTTGCCAGCTACTATATTATATTCCCACTTATCCCCTGCAGGCCACAGTTATAAATGGGTGGAAACATAGCTCCAGATGCTGCTCTCATGATCTCACCAACTGTGACATGTAACACAGCTGAGCATGTAATAATAATCTATAATATCTTCTACTCTGCTGAGTAAAAAGCAACTCGTGCTGCCAGTTCTAAACCAGGCTGTGTGTTGCTCATGTGTGGCTGCGAAGTCCACTTATGCACTAAGGTCAGGTACAGAGAGTTTAAGGGAAGAGTTACATCTAAGAGTTTAACACTCTTGTAAAAAATAAATAAATAAAATGTTCACTGAAGCTGTTTGTAGAACAGACAGATTCTCTGATCCTTGAAAGTAACTGAGAGCGTTTGGAGGGGCAGAGGTTTGTTTTTTTTTCTGTCAGGGACTCAAACTAGTTAGCGTTTCATTTTTTCTAATCAGGAGCAGATTAGAAAAACTGCTTTCACTTCCACAAACCTCTGATCATCTGACCTGGAAGCTGTTGGTTCCAGTGGAGGAATTTGCAATACATATTTTCAAGCCAGTTCTGTCTTGTTTTTTAAACTGAGTCGGTTTAATTGAACCCGAGTGAGGTCACCGGCACTTCTTTCCATCGCATCATACGATGGCATCAGCAATCACACCCCAGGTACTTTGTTCTCACTCATCGTTGCCGCCATCATCATCCGAGTTGCCATCGGTGCTCGTTTCCCTAGGAGACGGTTGCCTAGGCAACACCGGGAGCATCACAGAGAGAGAAAGAGAGGAGAGAGAGGAGCAATGATTGGTCATCAGAGAGGTGTCACTTCCCACAGGGAGCAGAGTGCTGTAGAGGATATGGAGGGCGCTGACGGCTTCTGATTCACTGTATGTCGAGTGAAGAGTGAGAACAGCTGTAGAGAATGGAGTGGAGGAATAAAAAAACCAGTTAAAGGGTTTGAGTCATGAGGAATCGAGGCCTGCAGAAATGAGAAGTGAATAGTGTTGGACTGCATGTCACAAAAGTGAAGCTCTAACAATGCGGCTTTTTTGTTTCAGGGGGAGAAAAATGTCTGAAATGGTTCATTGTTTTTACAACACCGTTCTCATTTTATTTATCAATTAATCTATTGATTAATCATTGTGCAAATTTTTCATTTAATCCTTTTTTATACAACGTTACCAATACATTAACCAATGCAAAGAAATAAATAATTAGGTTCCTTTCTAAACACAAAAATAAAACATTAGCGTTGTTGTTTCCAAATCAACATGGACTTGTTTTCTTTGTATCATTTGAGGTCTGAAAGCATCACATATTTTTTGTGATTTTGGCTATTTGTCATTTTCTGAAAATAAATTAAAACATTTTTGCTTGGAATTTTGGAGACATGTTATCGGTAGCTCATAGAATAAACAAGAAACTATATTAAATTTTACTCAAACATATACCAACCGAAAGGAAAATCAGAGAAACTGATCATTTGCAGTGCTCTCTTAATTTTTTCCAGAGCTGTATTTGTTTCCAGAATATAATTATGAAATGACCGTTCTCTCTCTGGTCCATCATTTCTGTTGAATCCAAGCTGTTAGATCGGTTTGACCTTTTTTCTTATTTATTTCTTATCCTGGGTTGTGTTGCAGCTTTTGTGCAGGGTTTGCCAACTCTTTGCATGATCTATGCTGGATGATTCTTCCCTTTAGATTTCTGACAATCCTCATGGTTCATTGCTTGTTTGTGTCACTGAGAACATGGAGGTCAAACTTCTACATGCACAGCTGGCTGGTCCAGAAATACATTCCTGCTGTTTTACAACAGATTCAGATAAGTTCAGGTTTAAAAAAAGGACACAGTTGGTTGACTTTTATAATGCATGCTGTGGGGAAATCTGTGCTTTCCTTGCACAAGAGTCTTTGGGCAGTTTGATGTAGCGTATTCTTTGAAGTTGAAAGCCAGTTTGATGTGGTGATTTTAAGCAATTTGGTTGGATGACTGTGTCTGTTCCTCGTTCGTTAGTCTGCAGGGAGCAGAGCTGACTCCAAATTACAGTTTTCAGCTCATCCACCCACTCTGTCGCTTTGTTGGAGGGTTCTACCCCCCATCTCCTCCACCAGCGTTTCCTTCTGTTGTTTCTCTCTTTTTTTTCTTTACTTACCATTTCTTTCTACATTTACTTCATATTCTGCTCTTTCTCTCACGTTTCCTCCATCTTCTTCTACCTCCCCTCCTCTTCTTCCAGGAACCTCAGACAACTGTCATCCATAATCCGGTGGACGGGACAAAGGTATTCGCCATTCCCAAGTCTGGACCTCACTCTTCATCCTTTTTTTTTTCTCATTCTCCTCCTTTTCCTCTTCCTTCTCCTATCCTTTTTACATGCATTTGTGTGAGTGCACCTCTGCATTGTGTGTGGATTTAGTGTTTGTGTGAGTGTGGCAGAAATTGAACTCCTGATATTTATGCTGTTATTTTAAAAAGCTGAGATTAGCTAAAAGATGTTTCTTACCTTTGCATGTGAATTTGTTGTCAACCAGTTTTGTAAATAAACAGACCTGCAGCAGGAAGAACTGCTGAGGATTTTTCTTCTTTATGAACTTCTGCTTACAAACAAACTATTTGTTCCTGTCTGGCTTTTAGTTCAGAAACTTTTTTACTCAAACTTCCTCATAAATGTGTGCATTTTCCTAATTTACAGTATAATTGAAAAGTTAGCCAAGTTTACTTTAACTAGGAACGAAAGGTGAAATCTGTTTATGGATTGATTTACCTATAGTCACAAATTAAAATGTTACAGTGTTCAGACACAAGACCAACCAAGGATGATTTTTAAAACAGACATTTTAGCCTTTTAAAAAGTTTTTTTGTGTGTGTTTTCAGTACTTGTTGGAGGCTAATTTTGCACAAATTACTGAATTAAAGCAGAGTGACATGGAGAGAGCTTGTTCTGGTGTTGTGTTAATTGCTTTCATGATTCCCTTCAACTCGCCTGCATTGTTGGCTCTAATGTCAATAATGCATCAATATAATCCAGACGAACCGGGATTAGAATATTCAATAGCAAAAATGGCAAAGTTAAACAAAAAAAAAACTTTCCCCACAAATATTTATCAGAGTTCTTTAAAAAAAATTCCTTATTTTCTATACAGTGTGCTTAAACAAAAAAAAGTGAAATTATGGCTAATATCTGTCTTGTGTTGGAAAAGTGAAAAGAATTTAATTAATTTCCACTTTTTCTACAAGCTTATGCCACCTCTGAATTTAAAACATGTTTTTACACGATATGCATTAGGAAGTTGTGCATGAATCTGCATGAGTTTGCAGAAAGATTTCTTTCATCCAGGCATGACTAAGTTTTCTGTGACGTCCAGTTTTTATAAACTTTTTTCACACTCAAAAACTTAAAGTTTTTGACACCCATGTAATCTAGAGCAGAATACTTATTCTTTAGTACTAAAGTCAATCTGACATCCAATGATTTTAGGACAGAATGCTGATAAATTGCTTTATAAATATGAGTCATAAAATTGCAAAATGTGCAAAGAAACAAACAGAAGGTGTGATCAGATATTTAGAGCCTAACAAATGTTACAGTTTTCTCCCCCTCTTCTTGGCAAAAATGCAGTCAACATCCTTCTTGCTCTTTCTTCCTCTGCTCAGGTCACCGGCTGCTCTTTTAAAGGCTATATAAATCCACTTTTGTGCTCTTGAAGCTGCTGGTGAACGTGTGCACTCACTAATCAGGTCATGGAGTCTCTCAGCACCCTGTACATGCAGGGGAATTTAGACCCATTTATTCTGCTAATTGGAAATCAGAAACTCCTCTTCTGGCGAAAGGAGTGACAGAAAGGCAGGCAGACAGATAGGTGGATAAATATATCCGAACGGCGTGCCGCTCTGCCCGGGATGACAGCCGATCTTCCTGTGAGAAGCTCGGCTGATTTTGAGAAAGGTAGAAAAGGCTCCTCCAGTTAAAAGCTTCAGAAAGCCATTATTTGATGTATGCAGAAAGTGTTTAAAGCTGCAGTATGTAACTTTTATGTATAAAAAAAGCTATTTACATATTAGTTAAAGCTGTCACTATAGTCTTATAGTGTAATATGAGACAAATAATCTGTAAAAAGGTAGATTTCCACCTTTTCATCCTTGGGCTAGTATTGCTGCCTACAAAAATGCACAGATCCTAACCAAAAACAATCAATCAGATCCAGGAGGAGGGTCTTAGCGCTGTCAGTCAACCTCATTTACACACTTCTAAATGTGATAATAGCTAAGAAACATCCTGCCATTGCAGAAAAATCTGTCGCAGTAACAAAATATTGACTGTAAACAATAATGATGTTGTTTTGAGATTATTTTCAAGCAATCTTGTAATGCAAGAGCACATTCTCAAAGATCAATAAACCTTAATTTTTGGTAGAAAGAAAGAGCAAAAAGGGAAAGAAGATGAAATGAAAATTATTAAGGTAATTTTAATTTATTCTGTGATTTATTGATTTATTGCGTCAGGTCTACTAATCAGTGGCCATGCTAACTAGCTTGAGTATTCACTGCAGGCTCTGCTATCAGAAAGAAGCTGCAGCTTAGCACAGAAGAAGCAAAAGGTGATGAGCCTTTTGCTTCAACACTAAGACCCGCCTCCTGGCTCTGATTGGTTGTTTCTGGTTAGCACTGGGAGAAGACAGAGGACCTCGAGGTTTTTTCACAGATTATCTGTCTCATATACTATCACGACATAGTGACCGTTTCAACAAATACGTAAAAAAACATATTTTATAAAAGTTACAGTCTGGAGATTTAAGGTCAAAAGTTGATTTGATGTCACAGTTTTAACAATGACTCTTTCTAACATGTGCAGGACCTTTGGCTTCCTCTTGTGAACAGTTTCCACATGTAATAGATGTGCTGCTGTTCATGATGTGTCATGACAGGATGCGCCCCCTGCTGGCCTGTGTTCCGCCTGTGCAGATTTACCTTGTTTACCCTTCGTGTGACAGACGTCTTTGTGTGTATCCTGCTCAGTGTGAATCCCCTGCTGTGCCTGAACACAACGTAATTGGTTGATTTGTTTTCTTCTCCAGGAGTCGTCAGACAGCAGCAACACCACCGTGGAGGACGAAGATGTGAAAGGTAAGGCCTCACCGATACAAACGAGTCTGAGCTTCTGTTTGCTGACATTAAAGAAGCAGTAAATTACAGGATTTATTTTACAAGCACTTTATGTTTTTATGATGCCGTTTTTGAGGCAGCCAGCTTCTGTAACTGCAGCCATGAATATTATATCAGGCAGATGAGTAGGTTTTACAACAGCAGAGGAAATATTTTTTCTTCTTCTTTTTGGTTGCCTCTTTTCAGAGAGGCCTCTTTGGTACAGAAAGAGCATCTTTCTGAAAAGATTCAGTTTGCGAATATTTGTTATAACGATCTGTACAGCCTCTAAAATTAAGCCTTCGTTTTATCTCTGTCTTTGTTGTTTGTGGGACTGAAATATTTTGAGTCTCGATGGCGAAGCAAAAATTGTTTACAGACAAACACTGTCTAGCTCCCCATCTCTTTGTTTGTCTCTCTGTTCATCCATCTGTTCATCCTTCATCCATCAACCAATCAGTCATGTTATTTGTCCTACAGTAAATCTGTCCATCCAATCAGTTATCCATCCGTCCAATTTTCTGTTTGTTTATCTAGCTGTCCAGGAATCCAGCTATTTGTCCGTCCAAACATTTCTGTCATCCATATGTCTGTTGATAATTGTCATCCAGCCATTTGTCCATCCATCCATCCATCCATCCATAGACCCAGCCATTCATGGATTCATGTATTTGTTCGTACATCCATCAATCCAGCCATTTCAACCATTCATTCATCTGTTCATCCAACCGTTTTTAGCATTCATCAATGCGTCAAACTTTCTGTTTGACTATCAGTTCATCCATCCATCCTTTAATTTATATGACAAATCATTTATTCATCCTTCCTTCCATCCGTATATTCATATAGCATCCTTCCTTCCTTCTTTTTGTCCTTTCCTTCCTTTCCTCCTTCCTGCCTTTCTTTTGTCCTTTATTCATTCAGTCATTCCATCCATCCATTCATCTTCCTTCCATCCTCAGTTAATTTAAATAACCAATCATTTGTTTTTCCTTCCTTCCTTCCATCTTTTTCAAGTCCTGATAAACTATTGAGTTTGGATTTTAAAAGTGTGCTGGAATCCTGATTTTATATTTTTTTGGAAACTGCTGATAAATGCCCTTGTCACTGGATGTTTCCTGCTTATGTTCTGGATTTTGAATAAGGGTAGAAAATAACTCCATGTTCTCAATGTATTTGTGTGTAAACGCCCACATAAAGATCCTGCTGCACATTATAATTGTTGAGAGAATTCTTCTTCATAAAAATGTTTCTGCTTTAAATCAGCTGAAAGCTAACATTTTACTGACCCCTGGTGGAGCCCGGCTGCATTGCCTCATCAGGATGCATTTTGTCACCTGCTGTGCGATTGTTGGTGTGTCTGAGAGGTGAGCAAAGGGCTGTAAAATGTTACATGTCTTGTTCAGCTGCTTCAGTTTGGCTCTCATCAAACATGTTGGGTTGAATCGAGGATCCTGAGTAATCCGTTCCTCAAAATACCAACACGCCTGTTCGAGTATTCAGCTGGCACAGTTGCCACTGAGCAGAACATAGCCTGCATATTAGAAAAGAAACTCCACACTGCACTTTTGTTTCGAGTCTTTTTTTTTTAGCTTCTGTGGGTGTGTCTGAGTTTTTCTACCCTGCGGAGTTCAGCACAGAGAAAAAGCCCCGCTTTCAACATCTCAGCTGAGTAAAATGTGTCTAAATGGGGTCATGAATGCTTCATTTCAGTGTCAAGCACACAGAACAGAATGTGCACTTCCATCTTCTCTTCCTCTTTGTTTTTTTTTTTATTCCCTTCCAAGCACAGATGAGAACTGCATGAAAGCCAAACCAGAGTTAGAAAGACAAAACAACAATAAAGTGGAACAGAAGCAGTAGTCTGTTAATATCTTTTTTTTTTTAGTTATTTGTCAGCTCAATATTTTCCAACTGGAAGACAATTTTTTTTTTTTTTCAGGATTTTTATGACGGTTTGAGTTTTTTGCAACCGATAATGACTAACACCTCATATCAGCTTTAGCTTTAGTGACAATAAAGCTGAATAATTGTTCAAATCTTTTCAAAACTTCTGACCAAAGTGTTGTGGGGTTTTTTCTGCTGGAGCAAAAGAGGCAACTGTGATTGTGCTTGCAGCCATTTTTCAGCAAATATCAGAAGCGATTTGTGGATTGCTAACTAGGATAACATGAGGAAAGAATGAGACATGAGGAAAGGATGAGGCATAAACATGAACCGTTTGGTTTGACTGATTAACTCGGAGCCAGTGATTTCAAATTGAGCGTGGCACAATATATTACAATGTTCTCATATTGTGAACATCAACAATAATATGCATAATAACAATGTTGCAAAAACTGAAGTGACTGCACATCTTCAATTATTTTTAACCAATCTGATTGACCAATTGACTTGTTTCCAGAATTATCAGGATAATCTAAATTTGCCTGATGCCAATCTTTGCCTTTTCCAATATCTGATTTTATGTGAAAAGACGTAAAATTTCAGAGTGCTGCAGTTTGTCTCCCTGGTCAGCAACGACTCTTCACCAGCCTGCCTTCAATTTCCTTTGCAACCAACTGCTGTGCTGCTATTACTGAGTGGATGAAAGGTACAACTTCACGTTTTAGCTGAAAAAACTATTTTTGCAGAATATTGAAGACGTGAGGCTCCCAAAACTCTAGGTATATACATCCAGATATATTCAGAAACTCAGAAACTTTGCTATGGAGTTGGTTTTAAAAAAAAAGAAAAAGAAAGTATGGCTTTTTCCATCCTGTTATCCTCAGAAAAACTTTTAAAGCTTGAAAGCTGCCTTGAAGTTGTTACGTCGTCACAGCAACGTTTTATGAGGAAGCAAATAAACTGAATGTTTTTCATTTTATCGGGTAGTTTACGATGTAATGTGGGAAACCCAAACACTCCATCTGACTTTCTTACATTTCTTCTGATTGGTTTGATCCTTTCACAGCATGCATACCAGAAATGCATTACTTCTAGAAACATAATAACTTCCCTTTATTGCTTCCAAACATCCCTTTGCAATAATGAAGTTGACAGTGGGTGAAATAATTATAGAATATTTCTAGTGGGGTCAGAGACACAAGATTCACTCTAGATATCTGCAACACAGAAGCCAGTAAACCACACATAGAATTATGTGTGGTTTACTGGCTTCCACAAATCTTCTGAAGCAAACTTTAAGTAAACAAAATGTAGGGTTTTTTTCTTCTTCAGAAGTGGTGTCTTGTGCAGAACGTCTTGAGTAAATTACGTATTGTTTTCATGGTAAAACTGTCCTTTCTATCTTCAGGTGTTTATGAAACTCATTCCTCTTTGATTCTTTGAGGTGTTCTAATTTGTGTTGAGGTCTTAAAATAATTTTTTCAGTCAAAAATCCTAGAAGAGACACATGATCATGACTGATTTATGGTGGAATATTGTTCTTTCCACTTCAAAATTATGGGTTCAATAGCTGCATTTACATTACAAATATGTGCAAATCTTTGTTGATGTTCTGCTGTGATCAAAAAAACATAATTTCGCAATTGCAGTGTTTCCATTAAATTGAGAACTCAATGAAAATGACACGTGAATAAGTTTTGTCATTAAAAAAACACTTCCTGTCATCTACTTCATCTTTCCTGCCAGTTGGCAGCTTTGGTTTGTTGAGCACATGATGCAGAACAAAAGTGTTTCCATTGCGGTTTTGCAAAATAAATAAATTTCTTTGAAGTTGAAAAATCACCTCATCTTAGAGTAAAAGTAAAGTGAGTTTTTTCAAAATTTATGCAATTCAATTTAGCAAATTTATTCTTGCAATTCCATTTTGCACAATTTTAAGGTAAATGAAAATGCAGGTTGTGATCCTCACCGGCACTTTAAATAGTTTTGAAATACACTGGGATTTCTTTTTGGCTTTCTTTCTTTTTGGCTTTCTTTTCCTCTTTTATTCCAGTTTAACTTGACATTTTAAAAAAAAAAGTTATTTGACATATAAAACATGGTTAGATAACCTGGGTTGGTACCATCTGGTATTTTGTGTGGATTTTATTTCACTGGCCGTATTAAAACCACTAATGAATTGTTAGTATACTTTGTAGTCCTTAAAGCCCGACACCGTCCTCCTCTCTCAAATTCAACCCCTGTAGGAGCTTGGGCAGGGTTGGGGAACCTTTGACAGAGACACTGAGGCTAAAATAGGGGGAGGCCACCTAAATTTAGCTTTAGTGGCTGGAAACCGCAACGGACCGCCCAGAGAGGTGACACAGTGAACACACGCCGCTCTTCTAGCGCCACCCCTGGAAGGCATTCGTCTCACACGACACTTTTATGGATCTTGAGATTTAAACGGGGGTGACGGCGCAGAGAACACCTCATGGGCTAGGTGAGCGCGGGAAGGGGGGCCGCTCGTGCTCTTCTGGAACAGATTGTGCCTTCGTAGTCTTTTTGGGGTCTTGTCAGGTTAGTGCTGGACAGCTGCTTTGTAATCCAACACCCAGGCTGACTTTGGAGGATGCAATCTGTTGTATTAGCCTCAATATTGCGCTACTTGTTAGACTCAGTTACATTTCATGCTGCTTGTTTTGGAGACGTGTAGTTATTCTGAAGAACGTTTACTGAGTTTATTATTTACAGGGTTGTCGTAAGTTATTGGTAAGTCAAACATTGTGGATTTGGAGGTTACTTGTCATTGTTTCTGATATTACTCTTGCTCTTAGAAGATGGGAGTGTGCAGATCTTCATTGGGATTTTCCCCACATGCTCGGTTCCTTTTTAAGAATCACATTCATGTGCACCAGGTCAACGAATGTCTTCCAAAAGTTTTAATTCTCCTTCAACCTTTTCACTAATTTCTACAAACTTCAGAGGATTTCGTTGAATGTTGTGGATGGATCCACACAGAGTAGTGCGTAATTGTGAAGTAATAAGTTGCATGGCATTTAAAATGTTTTATAAATAAAATATGAAGGGTGGTGAGTGTTTGTATTCAGCTGCACTGAGGCTATACTTTATAGAATCACCTTTTGCTACGATGATCTGAAGGCTTCACCTCCTCCCCTTCGACTCCTGACCCATTTGCTGTGTTTCTTGGTTTTTATTTTGGTTTTTTGTCGGCAATGTTCTCAAATAAACCTCTAAGGCATAAGTGGGCGAACTGTTTGCCAAAATCGTGGCACCAAATGGAAAATAACAAAAACTAAAATCAAGCAAATAAGTAGTTTATATATAAAAGGGATTTTATTCATTGTAGATCCAGAACATAAAAAAGATTTTGCTTGTTTGTTGTAGTAAAAGAAAAGCATCTAGTTTTCCAATTTTTTTTGACTTGATCAAACAACTTTATTCTCTGCTTATTCTCTCTATAAAGCAGTGCTTCTCAAATAGTGGGGCGGGCCCCCTTTGGGGGGCGCGGTGCGATACCTGGGGAACAGGCTTTTTTTTGGTATAAAGTATAAAGTGTAATTGCGCACAGTAGGCGGCAGTGGCGCTCTCATTGTTACTTCTGTCACGTTTGCGACAGTGCAACATTTTACGACTTACAAGACAACAGGTTTGCCTTGGTTGGCAGTGTTACGTCAACAAAAAGCTCCGACTGCGTTCTGTCTATGGCCTCCGTTATTCAACAACCCAACATGAAAAAGTTTTTCACAGGGATGAAAAGAAAAGCGGAGAGAGACAAAGATAATGAGACAACAGAAAGTCAACCGAAAGCTAAGAAGAGGAAATACGACGAAGCGTATTTAGCGCTTGGCTTCACTGTGACTACAGTTGGAGAAGAGGAAAGACCGGTGTGTTTGCTGTGTCTAAAAATGCTCGCAGCGGACAGCATGAAGCCAAATAAATTAGCGCGTCACTTAAATACGTTACATCCCAATCACGCCGATAAGCCGCTAGAGTTTTTTCAGCGGAAAAAATGTTAATAAGGAAAAAATGTTATGCAGAGATGGATAGTCACGGTGGGGAATGGGGGGCGCGAATAGTTTTCTTCTTGCTAGGGGGGGCGTAACGGAAAATAATTGAAGCACTGCTATAAAGACAGGGTTTGGGTCATTTTCTTTCAAAATGTCTACCATATTTAGTCATATTTAATAATTTAGCTTTTCAATAAAGTGTCTGGATGGATGTGGTTCTACCTATTATAAAAGTTTGGTTGTAAAACTACAAATGCTTTATGTCATGCTTTACATTTTCCATTCCAAGAAAAATGTGTCTGTAATAATTTTACCCTGATTCCACATAGAAAGTCTCCATCGACATCAATCATCTTTACTGAACAGGTCAAATTTGTATTACTCGTGAACTGCAGTTTGGGGCCCACAAAATCAATGCAAGGGCCACAAATGGCCCTCAGGCTGCAGTTTGGACACCCATTTTCAAAGGTCTTCACATAGAAGACCACTCATATTAAATTGCATTCATATTTATTTACCAAACAAGTAACTTTTTAAGGTATATTTGCACTGGGGTTATCATTGTAAAGACAGTTATGCACCACACTTTTCAGTTTTTTCTAAAGTCATTTACTTTTTTCCTTCCACTTGAATTTTTTGTTCTTTGTGTTGCTCTGTCACATTAATATTAGAGAAATATACATTGTAGTTTTAAGAAATGAAGTGAACAAACAGTCTGAGTAATTTTTCTCGTCACTGCAGCCATCACCGTTGTTATCAGCAATCTTCTGCTCTCTGGTGAGAATCGTGGTAATGTCACAATTAAACCCCTCATGCAGCAGCAGCCCCAGCTGTAAATCTGAATGAAATTGAGTCATTAACCATGGTAATGATTACCTTTAGTTTCTTCAACCAAGGAGTTGCTGTAATTTCTCAGTGTGAGGACAGAAATCGGGTCTTTACGTGTTAACGAGCCCCCGTTGTGTCGTCTCCGCTGCTCCTTTTGTTATTTCCCGATTGTGTTGTTTCTCTGGTGGAAAACATCCGCCTGGGTTTCATCTCTTGATTTACTTGTGTTTGATCTCATTTTGTGTGTGCATGTTGTCAGGAAAGAGCTTAGACAACAGCTCACTTAAGGCGCAGTCCAGCACAAGTTCCCAGCCTGATAGCACTCAGGGCTCCTCAGCTGCTGTGCACTGTAAGTCAGCATGGACGGCCAGGTTCAGCCTCTAACATTCAGATCTTATACCAAAAACAACATTTCTGTTGTTTTTTTGGGGGGAGTGGTTTTCCATTTGATCCTTGCATGGACTGAAATCATCCACCTGCTGTTGTTTAGCGACACAAAATCCCAGAGGATCCCTGACTTTTGCAAAATGAGATTTTTGGATTCTAACCTTAGCCTCTTTAAACATTTACTAACAGCACTGAGAAATGAACAAATTAGGGCTGGGCAATAAAGCAGTTTTATTAATTTATATTTTTTTATTTTATTTTTTTATTTTGATGTTCTGAAAATCAAGATGTTTTTCTCCAGTGCAGTCTTTATGTTTCTATAGTTCATAGTGATGCTGACATGTCCAGTGCGGCCATCTTGTTTGCTCTACTTCAAAGTCTAAATAAATAAAGATGGAATATAAGGGCAGATTATGATTTTTTTTTTTAAATTGCCAGAATATTAAGAGAAAAAGGTAGTAATTTTATGATAACTCCTTCATGAAAAATTTAAATTAGAATATTGATCATCGTAAGAAGTTATAGGACAAACTTAATCTTCTAACACACCAGCATCAAACTATTATCAGTTGTAGGACTTTGAGCAAATTACATACAGACTGAAATAATTTCTTCCCATTGAAAAATATTTTTCCTCTTAATTTTAAGACATTCTTCTGGTAAAATTGCATCTTTATTTTGTCGCCTTTTTTTTTTTTTTTTTAGGAAAGAAAGCGAGTAAAAAAAATTGTTAAATTATATCTGGTAGAAAAGAAATTGGAGGTTTAATTTTGAAGCCATATTGCCCAGCCCTAGAACAAATTAAATTGCTCTCAGTTAAATTTTCTCAAGTCAATCCTCCAGCCGTTTTCTGACTTACTCTATGGTTCCCTCTCATGGCGTCAAATAAAACAACAATAGCGCTGCTTAATTCTCGCGTTGTGTTATTTTTCGCACATTTCCAAGCATGGATTTTGTCAGAATATTATGCACAAAGTGTAACAAGGAAATGTTGTATAACAACTTCTCACAGCGAGGAAGTTTGTGGATTCTGGGGGTCGCTTTGAAATTCAAACGCCTCCATGTTCCTTCCTTCCCAAATTCAGCTGCTGCGAAGTTCGCTGACCTGCTGGGCTCTGTGCGTAGAGGCTCAGGGCCCATCACCGACGGAGAAGGTAGATCCAGCACTCCGCCGCCAGCCGCCCTCTCCGCCCCTTCCCCTCCACACACCCCTGTTGTCCCCATGCAGAGTAAGTGGGCAGGAGCCAAAACAGACTCAGCAGTGAACGACCTCTAAATGAGAGTTATAGTCATTTATCTGGCATCTGCTTTTCCTCTGATACCATGCCAAGATGCTGCAAGATGAGACACTTGGACAGACTACAGAACAGGGTCAGAACTGATGTGGAACAAGGGAATTGAGAAAGCAGAAATTTAGCGCCGTTATGCATGCAAACTTTGAACAAGATATAAAAGTGGTTTTAAATGGCCACAAATAGAACTGCTGGAAAAAGATTTAAAAAGCTGCATAAAAACATTGATAGTTACAGGATGTCCTCAGTAAAAGAGTCTTTAAAAATAATGGAAAACAGACAAAAAGATATGATATTTCACGAAAGTTACTCTAGTGTTTAGTACAAAGGCAGTCATTTTTCACCCCCAAAAATAAGCAATAGCCTTTATAAGTCCACTGACAACTCTGATAAAGGTGGAAAAAGACCCAAGAGCAAAGTTTTTTTTAAAACATAAAAATACCAAATATGAAAATATGTCAAAAGACAATTTATGTAAACTGTGAAGAAAAAGAAAACTTATCTAGAAGTCTTGTTAATTTCAAAACTAGAAGAAAAAACAAAATTAATTACAAAATAACACATTTTCTATGAAGCTGTTAACAAAGTAAATTTTGTAATGTTGTAAACTATATATATTAAAAAAGTAAAAGTTTATTCAACCTTCTTATTTAAGTCTAGCTCCATACATTTTATTCAATCACATAGCACATTAACTGTATTAAAAAAATACAAATTCCTTTTATAATCCACCCAAAGAGGAGGATTTGAAATGAAATAATTTCTGCGAATCAAAAACTATTTACATATTTAATAAAATAACCTAATTTGTGAAAATGCCGAAACAGCTTTGAAATAGACTCAAAATTTGCCCCATTGCTTCATTTTTCTGATCTTCTTCATGTTTTTTCCCATCTTATTGTTTGTAATTTGTTCTACATTCCTCTATCATTGTGTCCATCCGTCCGTCCCTCCTGGACCCTCTCAGTGTCGCGGCTCACAGACCTGGTAAGCAGCGTCCGCAGGGTGCCGCCGCCGCCCGCTGCACCCAACGGCGACAGTGCCTCGGCGCCGGCCCCCGTCACCAAGCCGGCCCCTCCACCTGCACACACCACTCCCCCACCTCCTTCCCACTCCCCCTCCAGCCCCTCCTTGTCCTCATCCCAGAGTGAGTACTAAGCCCTACAGCAAACCCCGCCCCCTTGCTGCATGGTGGCCAATCAGAGGCTGTGATCAGATGACTTTGGACTTCAGTTTGGGATTGATGCTAACATCTGGATAAACAGAAGCATGTTCTGCAGAGTGAAGTAGATCATGTTGATCTAAATGCAGATGGTTTATGTTTTTTAGCTTCATTAAACCTCATTGATGCTCTGCTGCTGACTGCAGGTGGCTGCTTTAACTTATATTTCAACACAAAAGGTGGCACTGCTTGTGACGATATTGGATGATGTGCCATGTATGTGTGTGTGTGTGTGTGTGTGTGTGTGTGTGTGTGCGTGTGCATGTGTGTGTGTGTGCTCTATCAATGAAACAAACTCTTTGTTCAGGATCAACATCCGGAAGTTGCTGAAATTTTTCTCTTGTTTATTTTATAACTACATCTAATTATTATTTTAGTAATCAATTATTCTGTCGATTAATCGGGATTTTTTTTTTTTTGCAGATTTTTCATTTGACCACTTAAGCTTATTTTAAATATTAGAACTACATTAAGAGATGCAAATAAACCAATAATTGAGTTCCTTTTTAAAATAAGAAAATAATCCGTTTTTTACCTACATTTCAACGACATTCCTTTAGTGAATGTTTGTTGATGCATCTGTAGTCAAAAAAAACATCAACATGTGAACAAATCTGTCTTTTCTGTAACGTCAATACAGTGTCGGTCTGATCTGTTGATTATTATTCTATTAATCAATTAATAATTGGACAGGAAAAGCTGCTTAAAGGGGAGTTTCTTTGTACAGATTTTAAACTCCAAAACATTTGAGGAGTTCTGGGTAAAACAGATAAAGTTTTTCATCTTAAATGCATTTATTTTTGTATGTTTTGGCTTCATTACTGTTCAGACTATGTTGTTCTTTCAGCAAATGGCTTTTTTTTAAGTCTGTAGACTCCAGTCAACAATTGATTGATTACTAAATTAGTTATGATTCTTTCAATGATTAAGAAATCATTTAATTCCCATTTTGTCTTTTCATTAATTCTGTAAAATAAAGTAACTGCTGTGTGTGGAGTCATGGCTGCTTTTGCCAGAGCATCTGTTTGGCTATTTTTAAATGACTAAACTAACTTCCTTCCTTCAGTCCAATTCCTGTTGTTGGTTATCTTTGTTTATACGTCTTTCTTCTGTCTTCTGCAGCGCGCAAACAAGAAATCATTAAGATCACCGAACAGCTGATCGAGGCCATCAACAATGGAGACTTTGACGCTTACGCGTGAGTCTGGGATCTCTTGAACGTTTTGTGTCATTTGAATAATTTGGGGTCTTGAAAACAGGACTTGCTGTTCTGTTGCCAGTAAGATCTGTGATCCTGGGTTGACTTCGTTTGAGCCGGAGGCGTTGGGAAACCTGGTAGAGGGAATGGATTTCCACAGATTCTACTTTGAGAACCGTAAGTTATAAACATTTGTTTTCCTCTGATTTGTCTAAAATCCTCTATTCCTATATTTAGTCCACTTTCTCTAAGACCTAAGATTCCCTTAGATGTTAATTATGGTAATTAGAATAATATATGATGTGACGCCTTCCAATATCAGTGGAACCAGTTGAAGCTAAAAATGCCCCTGGAGAAGTTCTGGATAAAAATTTGTATTAAATGCAAAATGTATATTTATTTTATGGTTTAGATTTAATTGCTACTCTTATTGTGGTGTTTTTCTCAGCAACTGGCTTTTTTTTTTTTTTTTTTTTTTGAGTCTGTGTTCTTCAGTTAACAGTAAATCGATTACAAAATTATTTCAATTATCAATTTATTACAATAAATCAGATTAATTGTTTCAAAGCTAATTGGATTCTCAATGAGATGTCCAAAGTGCATCTCAGGGGCCATTTGTGGCCCATTTGTTGCCACTGGATTAGTTTTGTGTGGCCCCTGACCACAATTTAATAAAAGCACAAATTTGTTTTTTGTTTTGTGCTTTTGTTTACAATTTCACATAAAATACATAAAGTACATTGAGGGCTGTTTTTGAGAAAAATTAGAAAACCTTCCAGGAGTGTAAATTCCTTTCCTCTTTTTATCTCCTTTCTCTTCTTGTATTGAATAATCTAAAGTAAGCAATGTCTTTTTTTGTCAGTTTTGGCTAAGAACAACAAGCCCATCCACACCACCATCCTGAACCCCCACGTCCACCTGATCGGCGAGGACGCCGCCTGCATCGCGTACATCCGGCTCACTCAGTTTGTGGACAACCAGGGCCGGCCGCGCTCCAGCCAGTCGGAGGAAACGCGTGTCTGGCATCGCAGAGACAGCAAGTGGCAGAACATCCACTTCCACTGCTCAGGCGCGCCAGCTGCGCCTCTCCAGTGAGGTACGAGCCAGCCAACTGGGCAACACGGCAGCAGATGGCCGCCTCACTCACAGCATGTTTTAAAGTCTCACAGGAAGAAAATGATCAGTTCCTTCAAATGTATCGGCAATCTTTATGTAGATTTGTAACGAACCATTCAAATAAAAATATTTTTAATTCAGTAGCTTAATTTTACACTGAAAATGTTTGGGGGAAAAAAATAACCCAACTTGAATCTGAAATGTAGTTTTGAACTGTTATTCAGTTTCAAATCTTTTTTTTTTTTCTCAATTTTTTATTCTGTTTCAAAATAATTTTCAGTTCCAATATTTTGTCTCAGATTTAATTTTTTTCACTTTATGAGCCCAATTTAGCTCCATTTAAATCCTTAAATTGTTATCAAACTAATAATGCTGAATTAATTATTGAAATTATTATTAATTATATTTTAGGCAAGAAAATGTTTATTATTTTAAAAAGTAATTTATTTATTTACAAATTATCTATTTCTAATTTTGTATAAAAAGACTTAAATGACTAAATGAAAAAAATGCAGAAATTGGCAATTTTCAAAATGTGATTAAATCCTCAATCACCAAAATAATTGATTGTTAAAGTGATTGTTAATTACTGCCATAATACTTAAAACCCAGGGAAGCAAACATTTATAAATTAGAAGTTGTTAAAAACTCTGATTAACTTTAAAAAGCACATCATGAATGGAATTAAATGCTTTAGGTGCTTTTATTTTGACGGCATCATTTGGGATACCAGCTGCAATCCCATTTGTCATTTTCTTATAAAAACAAGTCAGTTTAAGATTTTACATTATTCCGCGGCAGTAAAATAAAAATAGTTTCTTTTAAGGCTTTTTGAACGATTTCACCAGGAAGGTCAATAAATGTGGCTGCTGCACTGGGTGCTGGTTTGTCTGTGTTAAAAGTTTGATACCATTGAAACACCCTTGATTGGAGGCTGAAGACCTTCAAACATTGGAAGGACAACTGTTTGTCTCCCCTGGCTGGAAGAGAAAGGAGGACACAAAAACACCAGGACAAGTCTGCAGTAATGTCCTTGTTTATCTTTAATAAATGACACTTTTTTTCAATCTCATAAAAGCAAGAGAATGAAACAGAGACCACATCTGCAGAAGGCCTGTGTATTTATTTATTTTTATTATGGAGGATGTTTTCTACACCTATTTCTCCTCTATAAAATTTGACTGATTACTGGTGGACAATATGGATTTAAAATGTTATCACAAATAATTTGATATTGAACGATACATTGTCCCAAATGTTACTGCGATAAATGATAATATTGTTGTTTTGAGACTGTTTTAAGTAACAAAATGGTAATGGCTTAATAATGCCAAAACACATTTCAAAGATTAATAAACTTTCCATGCTAAATTTATTTATTAGTGGAACTGGGAGACATTTCAAATATCCAAAATAAATAAAGAAAATAAGAGAATCAACAAATAAAAGGAATTATTAAGTCTCTGTGAACGAAATTGTCATTAAAAAAGGGCTAGTTGAGACCAAAGCATGAGGCTGAAGACTTTTTCCATGCAGTTTTAGATAGAAAGAGAGAAAAGAGAAAAACAATAAATCATGCATATGAAAATGATTAAAATTGTTTTAATTTATTTATTGCTTATTTTGACAGACCTATTCATTTATATTTGATCCATCCTTTATATCATACGGAAGTATGATATAAAGAAGTGAAATGTGAATCACTAACCGTACACAGTACCTGGATTTAATAATTTATTCTAACTTATTGACATTTTGTGATACCTTAATTTAAAAAAAAGGTGAAGAAAGTGGCAAAACTAACAATTTTGGGGGATTTCAACACCTTTAATTGAAATTAATGCTGATTATAAATCAAAATGATATTAATTAATAGAGTTGTCACAATAAATAATAAACAATACAATAAATATCCATCCTAATGCAAATTATTACAACAAAAAACAAAATGTGAAGAAATAGTTAATTTTGCTTATCCCTCTGTAGCAAGTCCTATCTGTGTTTTAAACTTGGACAAAGGTTCGAGTGAAAACCTGTGATCTGTTCTCTTTTCAGGGTTGAATGCTGTAGTTGTGTCTATCAGGAACGATTTGCTGGAGAGAAAAGAGGAGGAAGAGGACGGGATGAAGGAACACATCCAGTGTTGACTTGGAGGACATGGCTCGTCACGCCTCAACAATCAAATCCCTCTCTCACTGGACTCCCAGCCTCCATCCCCCAGCATGCACCTCTGCTTCGACAACCGTGACCCCGCCTCTGTCTGCATCCACAAAATAAGCTCCTGAGGACCATCGCTCTACATCTTCTTTTTCTTCTTCTTCTTCTTCTTTTCCTTGTTCTTCTTCTCTCCAGCTCACTGAGTGTTTGAGTCGGGGTGTGGCGCCCCCTACCAGTGGTCTCTCTCCCACCCCCGCAATATTTTTGTGACCCTCTCTTGTCCTCCTGTGAATCCACACCTGTGTGACATAAACACTGCACTGGAAATACAGTATGTAAAGTTTTAAGTAAAATCTATAATTATCATTACTATATTATGATTACTATTGTTACACATTTGCAATTGTATATGTAATTTGTATAATTCAGATTTCCTGATGCCAGTGGTTTTTAGAGTTGAAGAAACTTTTTTGTTTTATCTTTTTAAGGAAGCATGTTTTATTCCCCATAGTAACAGTGGCTGTTTTCTTGTTTTTTTATTATTATTATTATTATTGTGGCTGTTAAGTGGAAAAGGTTTATTGGCCATTTTTATAATTTGCTTCTTCTACGTTAGCTATAATACTGCACTTGAAGTTCAAACGTTGGTTTCAGTATCTTTACTTTTATCGTTCGGTTGTTTTTTGCTGCTTTTTGGATGGGACGTTTCTGAACGTAGAGTTTGACTACACGGCAGGGGTCAGAAGTTTACATACAGTCAAGGATGTGATTAAGTTTAGGCTGTGAGGGATTAGTTTACTTTTTTAGTGTGGAATAGGGGGGGAAAAACACGTCACTTTCATTATTTTAAAAAGCAAGAACTGGGCGCACAAGTTTGATTTTACTGTGGATTTCCCCTGATAGCACAACAAATTCAAATTTATACATACAAGCCCCACTAATATCTGGCAAAGCAAGTTGCCTTTCTACCAAACATTAAGCATCTGGCTCCATATTTGATCCATCTTCTTACCGGTTTATTTAAACTGGTTTGTTTGGTCTGTCTATTCAACAACTTAATTTTTGTTGGGTATTTACGTCTTCTTTTTTTAATAATTACCTAAACTTTGTGCAATGCGTCGGTATCACTGGCAGGAAAACTCCCACCAACATCCATGCCAGATGGTTCAGTTTACTTGGGTTTGAAACAATAAGAGAGTTTAAGTGGCTAGATTAGATAATCTTATAGTTTTGCCCTCTAAGTATGAGAGAAAATTCGCAATTAATTCAAATTTCTTCTCAAAAGTCCATCTGGTTGTTCGTTAAAAGTGAGGGAGCTGGGGAAAAAGCAGCGTAAATAAATCAAAAACTGATGAAAGTAGGTAAACTTATGACCAGATCTGAACAGGATGTGTTGGTGAGCGCGGTCATGCTAGGTAGCGACGTAGCAGTCACAGTCCACTCCAGGTAACCGAGCACAATCAGAGGAACCTGCAGTTGATTCTCAGCTGCCCTGCAGAAACACAAAATCTGATCAAGTTGTCTAGTTTCCAGTGCAAAAACCCTTTAAACACTTTCAAATAAGACAAAACTAATTTATATGCAGCTTGTTTTAAGTCAGTTATTTTTGCATATTGATACAAATTACTACTTGCTGTTTTCTTTCACTAATAAAAGACATTTTTCTCATGTTATAAGTGAAATAATCTTGCAGCAGAACTATCAATCAAGTTTATTTGTGTAGTATATTTAATCAACAAGGCAGGTCAAAGTGATTCACATCATAAAACAAAATTAATTTTGTCACCAATTGAGAAAGTAGTAACAAATATGACATTTTGTCAAGTACCATCATCAATACACATTAAATATGCTGGTCAATATTTCATTTATTGTGAAACACTGACTTAAATGAATTCAGTGTTTCGGCTGTGTTGCAGTTTTCTGGAAGTTTGTTCTAGAAGATGAATGCTGCTTCTCCATGTTTGGTTCTAGTACTTTTTCATTCGCAATTGACTTAAAACAAGTTCTTATCTTCCTAAAATGTTGCTTAGAAGTTAGTGTCTTATTTCAAGGGAACTGAGATATTTTCACTGGAAACCTTACAGAAATACTTGATAAGATTATTGTAGAGGTTGTGGCAGAAGAGGCTGAAGCACCTCAGTAAATCAAGAAGAAAACTTTCTTTTCCACCTTTCTCTTACCTGCACTCAGGAGCTCTGATTCGTGTTTTAAAGTTGCACAACCTACAGAGAAGAGCATGTTGTCTAGTTGTTTTCTACAAGCATCAAATATAAAGTGTCAGATGAGGAGGAAGTTCTGCTGACACCTCCCTCTGTTTTCAGTCAGACCTGAAGCTCAGTGACTCATCCTGAACCTGCTTGGGGCTCGTTTTATTTTCGGTGCAGACGGGGAAGCTCAGCCGGTGTCTTCTGCTGTTGCTTGGAGACGGATGAACACCCGCTTGAAGCTCAGCGCTCCTTCTTAAAAAGGCAGAGTTATTTTTAACCTGCACTGCTGGCTGAAACACAACAGCAGGTTCTTTTTTTTTTTTTCTTTAATTGAAAGCGACAAAAGAAGTCGGCGCTCTGAACGACAGATCCTTTCGGATTTGTGTGACCTTCCTCGTTTCTGAAGCCATAGAGCAGAAAGCTGGCGTTACTGCTGCTTTTTTCCAAATGAAGCACATTCAAAAACTAAGACTCCAACCTGCAGCGGTGGGGAATCATGAAGGTTGTGTTTGCTTGGTGCTTCAATCATGTCGGTCTTTTAATACAGTGTGCAATATATTTGTATGTGCATGTAGATTTAAAGCCTTCAGTGTGTGCTCTTTGAAACCCTGGGGGAGGTTTAGGAGGCGTTTTATGAGAAACAGCAACGGGCCTTGAACCCCAGGATGACTTTTTTTTTCATGCTTTGTTTTTTATTTTTCTGTGCTTTTACTTCATTATGTTCGGTTTGTGTACAGTGTTATTAGCCTTTCATGACATAAAGTGCTTGTGCCAGAGGCAGCAGGGTAGAGCACAGATGGACTTTGCAGCACTGAAAACTGATGTTTGTTTTAGAAGAGGTTCGACTCGCGATCAGCTCCGCTGTTCTTCGTCCACCACTAGCTGCCTTCGCGTTTTGTATCACCGCTCGGTCCGAACAAGAGATTCAGAGAGACCCAGCTGTCGGTTTGGTGAACAGTCCTCAGGTTTTTATTTATTTTGAGTATTTATTTATTTATTTTAGTGGATGTTTTTACTGTGCTTTTTTTTTTTCTTATTGTTTTCCAATTGTGCAAGTACTGTCTGTAAAACCTGTTCTTAAAGGGATAGCACACCTAATTTGGCCGACATACAATGAGTTGGGTCTATGGAGTGTCAAAAGTTCAAATATTTTTCAAAAAATCCAGAAAATTGGGTGTGTAATAATTAATTTAATACCCTGTCAACCACATTAATATCCAAATCTGAAATCCACTAATCAAAGGTTTAAGGTAAAAATATATCAACTTATTTCATTTACTCATGCATTTGAGCACACAGTCAAACTTATAAATTATATTAAGAGATAATTATTGTATTTTTGTAAATATTTTTGTTATTACCAACATATTTGATTTATTGTAACGCATTATAAATGAATAGTAAATCCATTAATTATCTACGTATTTTTTTGCAAATTATAATTAAAAGACTTTAAAGTAATAATTTATTTTCCTTACTGAATTGGGGCACATTTGGACTTCCGTAGTTATTCTGAGCTACTGTTTTCAGAGGGACACTTTATGACTTATATACTTGTACAGGATTGTATTTTGCGTCAGCCGTCCCTCGGATGTTTCAACACTTTCTTGACTTTTGTCAGACGAAGCCTTTTTCCTCACCACTGAGTTTGTGTCGTACTCACGTCTCATCCAGTAAGGACACTCTTGTCTACTTCAACATGTTTTAATACTAAGAGGTCAACCCTTCTCCAGAAAAAAAAGAAGAAATAGCAGCATGTACAGTACAAAGTGATGTTTTCTGTTCTTAGTGTGTTTCTAGCCTTGAAAATCAACATAATAAGACTCACATATTTAAAACGAGGGAGTTCACAGTATTATAGCACTGCTGCTAGCAGCGTATCTTTCATCTTCTTTGCATGACAGTCAAAAGGACACTTTTAGTTTTTTGGTGTTTTTATTTGGGTTCTCATTTTCTACTGAATGCTGGTAAACTCGACCTTTCTCTATTTTCTCAGCTTTTTAAGTGCATATAACTATTTTTGTCTCCAGATGATATAATGAAGATGATTAATATGGTAAGGATTATTATAATCATGACTGTGGCACTAAGGATGACTATGATAAAGTCGACATTGATGAAGATGATGTGTTGATACTTTTGCATGCTTTTCTGTGGGTTCTCAGTGTTGTCAGTGCAGCCAGCAGGAGGCGCAGTCGCACCACATGAAGCACAGAAGATGTTTTGTATTTCGTCCAGAAATTGGATCAGAAAGACGAAGCGGCTCATTCAGGCTGAGCTCTGAAGCCGCCATTTTCACTCTGAACCTCTGCGTTTTTTTGGGGTTTTTTTTTTGTTTTTCCTGCAGCAGCAGCTAAGTTGCTCTGACAACACTGAGGTGGTTTCTCTTCTGTGGGAGTCTCTCTTTTTCCTGCTCCCTCCGTTTCCAACCTTCTTCAATCATTTCTCTGCAGTCGGCTCTTTCCGGTTTCCCTTTGTCTCTTTTTGTCAGTTTGGCTTTCTTCTGTATAATATTAACCCTCTAATTCTCCGCTTCTTCAGATTATTGCTCTGTTCTCTTACGTGCTACACGTGTTTCTCTAACTTCAAGAAAATGTGTTAAGGTGTTATCAATAAAATGAGTTTAAATAGAAACTTCAATGTCTTTCTGTGTTTTAGTTTCCATGAACAGACATCACTCCAAATGACAAATGTTTACATTTTTCAATTTGATAAAAATAATGTAGACTATTAATATCTGCACAAGAAAAAAGAACAGCAAAAAATGAATAAAATGTAAGAAAGGAAAAGAATTTCCAAATGCTAAATATTAGATTTAATATTCTGTTTATGGTAAGAAGAGATGAGCGTTTATAAAGAGGTAAAGATATATATAAAAAAAACATAAACACCAGATTCCAAATATATATTGCAGTATAACGTCTCTCCTTCCCTTCTTGTCATCAGAGTCTTTAACCAAACTCAAATACCAGTCAGGATGATCTCCCACCTCCACATCCCAGAACCAAAAACATTCCAGTATTTAGTGTTTCTCTCTTATTATCAGGAAGCTGCTGCTCTGTGGGAATTGAGTTTTATGTCTCAGCTTTGCATCTGGTATTCGTACCATGCAGCAAAAAAAAAGGAAAAAAACAAAACTAAAACTAATACAATTAGTTTGTGGCTTCACTGTTCACATTGATCCTATCAGCATCTTAGTTTCACATATTTTGAGATCAGAAGTTTTAGCATCACCTGCAGGATAAACAGTAAAAAAAGGGAAGAGTTTCTCAGTGAAAGTGACTCTGTGACTGTAGATGTGAGTCATGTCTTCAGAGTCGTAGAAGGAAACGTCCCCCATGTCATAGTCCAGCTGGACTCTGATCCTCTGGAGACTTCTTCACTACGACACTCTTGACACCATTAGTGTATTCTCCATCACGATGCCCTAAACACCAGATTCCATCTTCTGGGGTAACATCTCTCCCTCCCTTCCTGTCAACAGATTCTTTAGCCAAACCCACAATCCAGTCAGGATGATCTCCCACTTCCACATCCCAGCTGTTTCCCTGAGCTGAAGCCCTCAGAACCAAAAAAATTGTTAAATTTATTGTTAAATTAATTTATTTACACTTGATGTAGAAACATTGTGAAAATTTAGGGCTCAGAGTGAATAAAACTTTGCAAAAAATTATTAATAAGCTCTGATGGTGACATTATAGAAATCAAAATACAAAAATATTAAACAATTTTTGACATCATGTTGTAAAGATAGTTTTTAAAGTATTTTTTTATTATTATTTTTAATCAGGATATTAGATTTTCCTTTTGAATAGAAACAAAGTTTATGTCAAATCAGGCAAAAAAAAAAAAAAAGCTCTGCAGGAGCAAAATCAGTTTGTGACATAAATTCCCTTCAATAATTTCAGTCACATTGATCCAATCAGCATCTTAGTTTCACATATTTTGATCTCAGATGTTTTGGTATCACCTGCAGCTCCTATATTAAAATAAGGGAAGAGTTTCTCAGTGAAAGTGTCTCTGTGACTGCAGATAAGAGTCATGTCTTCAGAGTCGTAGAAGGAAACGTCCCCCATGTCATAGTCCAGCTGGACTCTGATCCTGAGGAGACTCTTCTTCACTGGGAGAGTTTCACCATCAACATCAGTGTATTCTCCATCACGATGCCCTAAACACCAGATTCCATTTTCTGGTGAAACATTTGCTTCTCCCTTGTCAACAGATTCTTTAGCCAAACCCACAAACCATTCAGGATGATCTCCCACCTCCACATCCCAGCTGTGTTTCCCTGAGCTGAAGCCCTCAGAACCAAAAACCTCAGGATACTCATTGATTCTCTCTGGATTATCATGAAGCTGCTGCTCTGTGTTTCCATGTCTCACTCTGGTCAGATCATCAGACAGATAGAGTCGTCTATTTGCAGTGTTTGGGTCCAGAATGATGGGACTGAAGTGGACCTGGTCCTTCATCTTCTCCCAGACTCTGAAGGACAGGTTGCCCAGGTGTTTGGCCACATCTATCAGAGTTCCTGATACCAGCTGTGGATCTGGCAGTGACCTCTGACCTCTGGCTCCACTCTGAGTGGCTTCATAACTGCTGAGGAACGACACGTTGTCTTTCTGCAGCTCTTCTACAGCAGAGATGCTGTCTGACAGAGAGGAGATCTGCTCCTCAATCCTCTTCATCTCTCTCATGATAGTCTTCCTCTTCTGCTCTTCTTCCTCCCTCAGAGCTGCCAGTCTGGACTCCTCTTCCTCTCTCAGGAACTGGTGGAGCTTGTTGAACTCTGCTCTGATCTGTGTCTCTGTGGACAGCAGCTGCTTCTTGGAGTGTTGAATCACATCATCATATTTCCTCCACCTGTTTGTGTTTGTTCCTCTTGTCCTGCAGAGACTTTAAGTCAGATTTCAGCTGCTGCTTCAGCTCACTGACTGCTTGTTCTATAGGAACCACTTTGTGACTCTGGTGGAGAGAAAACTCACAGACAGGACACACAGCTCTCTGCTCGTCTTCACAGAACCAGTAAGGAACCTCTGAGTGTTTCTCACACACCACCTTCTTCTCTTTCTTCTCTCTTTTTCCATCTCAGTTGAAGCTCCATTCTGTTTCTCAGCAAACGAATCAGCGAGTTCTTTGAGGGACAAGTTGATGGACGGATCCTCCTTTGACGATCGTTTACAGATGGGACAGTTTTTATTTCCAGTTTGTTCCCAGAATTCCTGCAGGCAGCTTGAGCAGAAGCTGTGGTTGCAGCTCAGAGACACAGGATCTCTGAAAGTCTCTGAACAAACATGGCAGCTCAGGTAATTTTCAAAAAGAGCGATTTTCTCCGCCATTTTAGTTAATTTCTTCTCTGAAGACAGTCCTCTTCTTTGTTCTTCAATAAAGACGAGAGGCTTTTCTGTCGCGTCGTCTTCCTGTAAATATATTCTTTTTAAGTTTTGTTTACCTTCTTTGGGTGGAACTCATTGAAATAAAACTGATGTTACACAACCCTGCCGCTAGATGGTGCTAGTTCCTTTTTCTGAGACGTTTTTCTGTCCGTCAGGTTTTTTGCTCTCTTAACTCAACTTTTGCCCAAACTTGGAAAAGCTTGTTTACTCCAAAGAGACGCAGGAACAACTCATCTCAGGGACATCTTTTATTTATCCTTTTTCTTGTCTTTAGATGAATCTCATCGACAGCATATGAGCAAAACATGTGCTCACATGAGCAGTGGTTCACATGAGTAGGTCAAAGAGTAGGCTGAAAATCTACAGAGAAACATTAATTACAATCACAATGAGTTCATTTTAACTAATTAATTTCTAAAGAAATGATTTAATTTACTTGTAAGTTAACAGTGAATAAATAAATAAACTATATTCCAAACAGTGCAATTAATTTGTTTCCAAACACATAAAACATTGCATCAAATAAATCTATTTTGGTCTTTTGAATGCAATTTGAATGATGTAAACTGTGAATAATATCCATTCCTACCAGTGGCGTCTTTGAGGAAGCTTTCAGTTGAGGTTCTTTGTCTGAAGAGATCACTGTGAGCACAGGTGAGCCAAGTTACCTCATAGATTTAACTGCTGAGCTTGAGAAGTGAAAGGGATGGGTGCACTTGATTCTTTGTAAGGTGCGTGCCATTTGGGTGGAGATGCTGAATACATCCAAAAATGTACCATTTTGTGTTTTAACTTGACAGTCAGTATTTAACTTGTTTTTCTTGAATAATATTAATCCTCTAGTTCTGATTATTGCTTTGTTTCTTGCACTGCATTTCTCTAAATTTCAGAAAAAGTGTTATCAATAAATTGAATTTAAATAGTCCGATAGAGTCTTTGTGGGTTTGTAGAACCAACAAACCGCAGAGTAGATGCTTACTACTGGCAGAATGAAAAATAATAATAATCACATGGATTTAGTTTATGTGAACTCTAAGAAAAATGTATTAAATATTTTTCTGCAATAACTTAACTAAACATATTGTTTTCCAACAATTTCAAAGAGAAAACAACAAAATACAAATATACAGAATATGAAATGAAAAATATTAAAAATTACATTTGACATTTTGAATATGATTTATGATATTTGAAAAATGAGGAAAAACTACATTTATATAGTATGCTGAACAGTCTAGATAAAGTGTATAAATAGGCATAAATATATATTAAAAATAACTAAATACCAGATGAATTAACAGTGAATTGTGTTTTAGTTAGAAATTGTCTCGGATAGTTGCCCCCTGATTTCTCCCTAAAATTACAGTGAATATCAAATGTGTGCATGCACTGTAAAAACAGATTGATTGGGTTTTCTTTTCCTCACTTAAAAAAGTGTAAGCATTTCCCTTTTAGCATTAGTTGGTATTACAAAGACATTGTGATTTGCTAATGACCCTAGAAGATCAAGCTGCACCTAGAAAACACTCTGTAGTCACCAACAAGATCCTGGCATAGTTCTGACTCTTCCTTTCAGAATAGGTGGAGTTCATTCATGAACTGGTTGGTTTTCTGTCACTGACCGACTTTTAATCACAATCCACAAACTGGCAGCAGGACTGATGTCAGAATTTTGGGAAGAACTTCAGGACTTCAGGCTCCTGCTGGGGGTCAGCAGGGGTGCTGGTGCCTTTCTCCAACTGTCAATGGGCGAGAGGCGGGGTCAACCTGGAGGTCACCAGTCTGACACAGAGCAACACAGAGACAGACAAGACAAACGACCATATACACATTCACACATAGGGAGAATTTAGAGACCAATTAACCCGACAATTATGTCTATGGACTGTGGGAGGAAGCTGGAGTACCCAGAGAGAAGCCAGGCATGCACAGGGAGAATATTTAATGAAGGGAGATATTTAATTGTTTAAACAACTTTTTCAATAATTTTACTGTTGAATTGAAAGGTGGAGATCAGTCTGTAGTTCTGCAGTAGAGATTTGTCCAGATTGTTTTTTTTTTTAATCAATGGCTTAATAACTACTATTTCTAAAACCTAGAGGAAAACACCTGATGAGAGCAGTGAGTTCACTATTTAAATCAGATCATTTGCAATGACAGCAGAACTTCCTTAAGGAAAGTTTGAGTAGGATAGTGGTGCCCAAGTGTAGTCCTCGAGAGTCGGCATCCAGCATGTTTTAG